GAAATGTATTACTGTTTTAAATACGTGTTTATCAAAGTAATTTTGGGAAGTGTGTGGCGGTTCAGTGCTGAATCCCTAACAGCTCCTAGGTCCTGGGTTCAGTTGGGGATTCGTGCGTTTTCTGTTTGGAGTTTTGCATGTTCTTTTATGTTCATGTGGGTTTGTTCTCACCCTTCTCTTACCCTTTAAAAAACGTGTTGCCAATTGTTGCCAAAGTTAATTGGCATCTCTAAACTCACTAAATTATCAGTGAGTACGTGCGCCCATCAACAAACGGGCATTCAGTCCGGCGTGCAGTCCCGCCGCCCCTACCCTCTACTGAAGAGCCATTTACACTATCAATGATATATATTATATAATAATATACAGTAGGCTGTGTACATTATATATGGACATATATTGTATAATATTATATATAAGGATAGTAGAAGAGATGTTTAGCTTGAACTATGTAAAGCTTTTATTTGTTCGATAATGCCATTTCTGCAGTAAGATCACAAATGATGAGGATGTGTCGGACACATTCCCGACCTTCACACTGTTCGTTTGCCCTCCTAATTTCTTACATAAATGGGTTTCTGTGTCTCAGCTGTTAAAAGCTGTACAGTACTTGCTGAAGGAAACACGCGGTCGCCAACCGACTGTGCTGTACTACAGCACTGTAGCCCGTAGCGCTGATAAGTAATAACAAAGAAAATGAATTGTCCTTTGCATATTAAAATGATTAATCAGCTAAATGAAGCAGCTGATTTCAGTGGAAAGCCACGGGGAGCTCTTAAGGTCAGACCTAAAAGAATGCTAACTGGCTGCCAAGCTATTCGAGAGCAGCAGTATTGTTCAGGTCTTTTCCTGGGAAATGTAACCCCCTACCACGAGGGCACCCAAATCATCACTGTGACATCGAGTCTCCTCATTAACATTGTAGATTTCTTTTGTAATTTCACCCAGTGGAGAATCTTGGAGGCCTCTGAAAAACAATGTCTATTCAAACACGAAAAACACCCAGCAAGCCAGCTCTGAGCTCCGAAGAGTTTGTGACGGTTTAGTGCCCTTGTGCCCTACAATACCCAGTCCCCCAGCTTCTGCGTCTTGGTCATTTCTGCTTCCTTACCAGCAAGAAATGCTCGATTCCTCAAACATATACATGACAAATATAAAAATGTCTTCAATTAATTTATATGAGAAACACAGGACAGTTCCGCTGTTGTTCTGCATTATTTCTTACGATGAAAATATATTGAAAGCAGTAACAGCTTGTTAGAATGTATTCAAATAACGTCCGACCAAAGAAACTAAAAAGGAACTGAAAAGGAAAGTGACCGTGTGTTCGCGCAGTAAGACGCACTTTTTAAAAAGTTGAATCAGTGGCTGAGAAATTAGAAATTATCCGGAGAAACGGGGAATCCACCAATTTGTTTTTCATAACTAAAAACCATAAGTACTGATAGAACAACGGTATACAATTATATACACAACAATACAATACAATTAGAAGTGATTCAACAAAATTCGTATATTCCTAGTGAGAGGCCACTATGCAGCAGAAAGATGGGGTACATTTTTAAATTAATAGTGGCTTCCTGGTACCAAATCTTCCCTCCTTACCTTTCTTCCTTTTTAACACTCTCTTGGTGTGTGTTACAGTGTTTTGCTTTCTGAAGTATAAATTTGCATAATCTGATTATAAAGCGGGATTGCAGCCTAATAAAAAAGTGCTTCACAAGAGAGGGTGCTGTCCACCAACAATTGCGTCTCGGCGTCCCGGACAAGCACGCACCTGCGCCTAGACACAGCCTCTCTCCTCTGCCCGCTTCAGATAAAACTTGGGAGGAGAGCGAGGGAAGAGAAGGGGAGAAATCCAAACACGCATAAACTGAATTGGTTTAGCAGGATAAAGAGCTCAGGGCTATGGCATTTGCAGCCAGTTTAGAAAAGTCTTTTCATGCGTACTCAGCCTGGAGAGAGACGCTGCAGCCCCGTCATCTGGGCAATTGTGATAACAGATTCAGACAGTGTGCGAGACGTTGATAAGGAAATTTGCTCTCAGCATAAGATTACCCTCGTACTCTGAAGAGAATGGCCTATCAAAAAATATACGCGGATGGAGAGGAGGGCAGAATACAGATTTGCCTTCCGTACGAAACCCCAGACGCACAAGCAAACCGCGTTTATTATACTCTATTTCGCACCGCGGTTTTATCAATTATTTTTTTATGCGCTTTCCAAAACAAAACTCGCATGAGATGGTTCCAATTAGTGTAACAGTGATGCAATACGATTTTGAATCGGCAAGGTACTGGCATGTATCTTACCTGCTTGATTAGAAAGAGATTGGAGTGCCAGTGATTTAAAAATATTAAGGTACATATTTGCTTAATAATAGTGATGCATTTGTACTGTCTACTTACGTTTGTGCCTTTAAACAGCATATTGTGTATATGCATTCAATTTATTGTTAAAATACATAGGCATGAGGAAGACTCGTTCAATGTTGGCTTTATAATACTGATTCTTTCATTTTGATTCCAGTTAATATTTTTTCAATATTGTATCAGATGCTCTCAGGAATTTTCCCCTTCTACTGAAAAGCAAGAAAACTGGGGAATAGCAGCACAAGAAAAATACAAAAATTCAAAAATTAAAAATACATAGAATTAATATGTCATCATAAAACTGTTTTTTTAATAAAGTAATTTGCAGTAATATGTTCAATCAACGCATTACTGTAGGGCTATAGTTATTTTTCGATGAATGCACCTAACAATGAATGAAGGCAAAGGAGCATCTGCTAATTCCCATAGGTCAGGCTGTCCTGTGAGTGTGTTCAGCTGGACGCAAGTCCGTTTTGTCACCATTTGCAGGTTTAATTGTGTTGCTAAAGCAGATCGGATTCCACTGTTTATTCTAAAGCTCACGAAACAGACATGCTGTTGGATTGAAAGAGCAAGATTAAACAATACTCTGCACGTAAGATCTTTTACTGTGTCAGTCATGGCTATTACAGACAACGACTGAATGAAAGGTGACTGGACAACCTGTTTTACAAAATCTAACTTCTGACCTTTACATCTGGTAAGAAACTACACAGACTCCTAATAAAGAAATAACTGAAATGGAAATTTACATTTCCTAGGTAGACAGATTATGTGAGACGTCCTTGATAAACACATTGTAAAACTTCTTAAGGAGTAGAAACCTGGTAGCTAATATCAATCCACACCCTTAACAAACACCTGTGAGACAAAGTGAAGACATTCAGTTGGATAAATCTTCTGCTGATGGCCAACAACCCAGGCTTTTCCAAACAGATGGGCTTTGTAATAGACACTCTTTAGAATGTAATCTATCTCACTCAATCCCATTTCACAGCTATTTAAAGACAAATGAATGTACAGAGGTGGAATCACACACCTTCAGGCGAATTCATAATTTAAAACCTCTACCAATGTTAGTGTTGTTCATACCTTAATGATCATTATTCTCTAGGCCCTCTAGCACAGCAATTCATTCATTCAGCAGAGTTTCTACAGGCAATATGTTCATTGCAGAAAACCTAAAATGGCAAGTTGTTCATTTTTCCTAAATAAACAAAAAAGCTTTTGAAGCAGTCCTCCAAAAATGAAGAAAAAAAATGGGTGAAATCCAGTAACATATGGAAACAACTAACTTGGTCAGTATGGGATTAACCCATACAATTAACTTGTGAAGAGACGTTGCGTGGATGTCTACATGGCACTGGACAGTGTAAAGGTGTATTTGTAACACAGTTGTGTTGATGAATGTTTCACTGAGACAAATTTACAATTCATAAAAAAAGAAAACACAAAACTAAATGGGCTGAATGGCCTTTATTTCCACACTTTCTTGTGTTACTGATCTATTTTGTTGTTGGAGGAGTCCAGGTGTGAAGGAAGACTGACTTCACCTCTGCAAGCATCTGTTTCTTTTCAGAGACCAGGGTGGATGGGATTTGCGGACATGACTCTTGGGTGCCCTGTGACACAGAGGTCATGAGTTAAGCTGTGCTTTCACTTTTCATTCTTCCTTTCACTTGGAAAGGCTGCGGGGGTCAGGCTTGTGTCCACTGCTTTGAGCCACAGAGCTTGCAGTGGGCATTTAGCAACCCCAGCTATCGTTCCAGTGGATAGGATAGACCCTAATGAACGGGGACAAATGTATTAGAGGTTATTATTCCCAAGCCCCTGTTATAAACGACCGGACAACCCGATCTGTTAAAGTTAAAACTGAAGATCCGTGAAGTTGTGGCCTGGGCTGATTTAGCATCCACAGATACAGTATGCTTTAGTGATCTTTTCTAATATATCCTACTGACAACCTTCAGGACAGTTCAATGGAAGTTATTTTTTCTGATATTTATTATGATTTGATTTTTGACAATTTCATTATTTTTGCATAATATCTAGACAATATGCAATATTTTGAAATGTCAGTGAGGGACGGTTGTGCAGGAGTAGCACAAAATGAAAGTAAATCTGCTACACTTGTTACCTCTTCAGTGTTGGAGCTAGATCCAAGCTCCTACCACTAAGATCTATTTTTATAATGAATCCAACAACTGGAGCAGCATGGTGATATAGAGGTCAGTACTGCTGCCTCACAGCTCGGGCCCTGGGTTCAGATCTAGTTTGTGTGAAGTGTGCGTGTTATCCTAGCCCTCCTATGGGTCCACTCCAGGTGCTCTGGTTTCTTTCCAAGGAGCCACTGCTTAGGTTTATATCTCTGAACTGTGTAAAATCTTAATGTGTGTGTGTTTGCATGTGCGTGAGTGTGTGTGTGTGACCTGTAATGTAGTAGCATCTTGTTTAAGGATGTTTTGTGCCCTGACCTTCCATGATGTGCACCAGATGGCTTTGACCCTCACCAGCAACGAACAGCTTTGTAATATTGAATGAAGGGAATTTCAACAATTCTTCAGTGTAGGAAAAGTAGCCAAACACAACTTTGTCACAACATATTTTATTAAACACATTACGTAGAAAATTAATAAATAAATCACAATAAATAATATAATAATACCACATTTACATGGAGAAAGCAAATGTACTGTATGCTGCATTCCAACACGATTGTAAAGGATTGCTACATTCTTTGGCTATAGTGATGTGTTTTGTTTTACAACACAGCAAATTAAATGGACATTTCTGTAAGTAAAAATTGCTTGTAATTGTTTTCTTCCCCTAAACGTCTTTAGTGTCCTCCCCTAAATCTCTCTATCAGTTAACAATAATGATTTTATTCTTCTTATTTAATAAACATAATTCATAATTTGATACCCTCCCTATATAATGTAAGATACACAAGACTGTTCCAATACCTCGGAATATTCAAGGCTTAGAAAGTGATACCATTTTACTGAGATGAATCCAACGTTCTTCTTTATTCTTTATCCTGTTGTCAATTTGATGAGATTCTGGATGAAATATACTGTAAATCCAGTGCATTTTCTTTAAAATATCCATTAGTATTTGTCAGAAATTTGGAAAATTTTCACGCTTTCCGTTATTATAAATCTAATTTACATCACGGCCATTTCAGCAAAGATCTTTAAGAATGTACTGCAGATGCCCAAACATTTTTGTCTGTTACTTAAAATCTTCTAAACCAGAGAGTATACATTTGCAGAAAACATCCAAGCGACATCCATGCAGATACAGCTAAAGTAATGTCAATGTCAGCAAAAAAAGGGGCTTCCCATAAGTCTCTTTGTGTCACCAACTCTTCTTTTATCACGTTTCCTATGGTGTGGCTTGATGGAGAACAGTAAGCTACCCAGCTAGGACTACCAAACCAAAACTGAAGAATCACCTAATAAGCAAAAAATATGAACCATCGCTTGTCATGGGGTGAGTGGGAAGCCTTCAGAAGCACATCAAGCTTTCTTAAACTGGAGTGGAAAACCAGCAGCCTTCAGACGTCAAGCAGCACAGCAGTCTTAGGTTTCAGGGGACCATGATCCCTTGAGCTACCAGGTCTCAGAGCTGTCACAGCTGGAGCCCGGGGACGGCGCCTCCGTGTCGCTCACGTTGCTCCACTGCTTGGAGGAGTGCAGCCGCTCAACGTTGCCCCTGAGGAAGTGCAGGAGAGAGCTGGGGGAGGCAGCCACGGGCTGGCCGCTCTGGCTATCCAGCAGCTGCACCAGGAAGTTGATATATTTCATGGCCAGGCGCAGGATTTCGTTCTTGCTCAGTTTCTTTTCCGGGGGGTGTGTGGGAATGAGCTTCCTCAGCTCAGCGAAAGCGCTGTTCACGTTCTGCTGCCTCCACCTCTCCCGAGTGTTGGTGAACACCTTCCTGGTCATGGTGGCTAAGGGCTGCAATCAGAGAAAGGGACACGATGTTACCGGCCATTGCAGAACAGAAATGCCTGGCGAGTGATGAGGAACAGTATGCTGACAGGATGGATCAATAGCAGACAAGACCGAGATTTATCACTAACACGGTCAGGAGATGTTTGACCATGATTTATTATATCATGCTCAATATATTTAATTGAATATGACCAGGAGTCAGCAGCGAAGACAGAACCTGCTGGGAGCTGATTTCCATTGATATTTATAAAAAAATAGATTTTTTTCATGGCAAGCACTTGTAGTTTAAGCTTTTTTTTTTGCAGAAAAATGAATGTACCTGTTTGGAGTCACACACTGTCTTGCTCTTGTTACCCACGAATGTTTAAAACAATGGATGGGCACATACTAGATCACAGCAATTCCCATGTACAGTACAATCACATTCACAGCTCTTCTGTACAGAAATGAACCTTTATGGAAGTGAGGACATGCTTAGGGTACAGATAGGAGATGTTTTCAAGTATTTTTCCAGGTAGCACACAAAGAAAATTCACAGCAGCTTTCATTTTCCACCTCCCTCTCCACACACACACACAAATGCAAACTAAAGCTAGTTATGTTCTTGCTTTTGTATTCTACACACACTTTTTTGTTGTTCCTACCGCATGTGAACCCATGTATCATTGTATTGTGTGTGTGGTCTGCCTAGGACAATACTTATATTTACACACTGTTCACTTTTACACACTATAAATCCAATTGTATTAATTTTATTATATTTGAAATCGACATATTTAGAGATCATATAAAATCCAGTGAGTGTCTGTCCTCGTATGAGAAGAGAGCCGCTCAGTTCATTGTGCTCATGAGGGTTTATTTTCTCTGTGGTCACACTAGTGATTGCACTGGACACAAACCCTCCAAGTGTGAAATCCCCTCAAAATCTCCTGTGGAGGAAATGCCAGCATGCATCTGAGAGGGTGCAGGAAGCTGGAACACCTGGCAAAAACCTATGTGACTGTGAGCTGGCTAGAGAGAACACGCAGGGTCCTCACAGACAGGTATCACAAGCTGGAATTGAACTCAAGAGCTCTGTAGACTCTGGAGCTGGAGGCATCGTGCTAACCAGCATACCACTCACAAAAAATATTATTCCTCATATACAACGAGTTCACGGAAAAAACATGTTCATTTAGTAATGAAACTAGGACATGCAATCGAAACCAGCACTGAGTAACATATATCAGGAAGTGAGTTGCAAAGGAACAAGCATAATTTAATTCCACGCTGACAAGCAGGAAGGAGAAGCAGCAAAATATTTATTCCGAAACGTTATTTTCTCCAATGTTTTTACTTTCCAAGTAAGAGATGAACTACACAGACACAGGATTTCAGGAGACTTTCAAAAAAGCTTTGTCATCATCACGATACTAACAATAACAATCCAAAAGCTTCCCAAATACAGGAGAGTTTAGAAGGGTTTGTGAGAGTCTGGAACAAGCTGCCGAGCTATATTGTGAAGTCCTAGCTATTTTCAAGAAATGGCTAGATGAGATCAATGCGCTTACTAACTACCCAAGTGGCTAGATGTGCCCAATGTTCTCTTCTTGTTTATAACCTTTCTTATGAGAAAACCTCTGTGCAGCAGCCATTATGCATTACCACCGCACAGGGTATCAGCTGGAGAAGTGAGAAATTGCTTCACTAATTAAATTGAGAGAACAACTTAGGCAGGACAGATTCCCCTTTGCCCTCATTGGCCCAAGTGCTATTTTTTTTGCTTGTAGGAAAAAAAGTCCAACCAATTTATTTTTTTTTTCGCCTCTTGACGATTCTGCTTCTGTATTTAGTACGGATCTCCCGATAGGGGAAAAGAAATGTTGCACCCAATTGATCTCATCTGAGCACAAGCGCCTGCCTCCTGTTCGTTGTAAAAAAGCAGCGAAAAGCAACGTAGGCTACTGCACCTGTGTGGTTCATGTTAAACATTTTTGAACGGTGAGAAGATACACAGATTTTTCAGAAGGACTGTACAAAAGTAACACACCAAGGGTGTCGTATTGAGCACTTTGTGTTTAGGAAATACTACTGTATATTCACCTATTCTAAGTTTGCAAAACGACGAACTCGCCACGTTATTGTCTGCATGGCTATTTAGCTAGCTAGACTGAGAATTCCTTAAGAACATTTCGTTACCTTAGTAGACAAGCCAATCTTTTGGTATTTGATATAAACAGCTAACATGCATATTCCTTGTTGTACAGTATATATGTGGTTCAGTCACAGAAACAGGAGAGCATGCCTTCAGAAAAAAGACGAAGAAAAAAAAGAATTTTGGGAGGCAGCTAAAGGGAGTACATCGCTTCATAACTGGGTCCCAACTAGCGGCAGACGAACAGGTAAATGGTTATCAAAAAGGCCAGTTCCTTAGGGTACATTCTACGTACGCCTCAATAACAGAGGAGTCTTGCCTCACAAGAATAATTACATCGGTAAATGTTGTACGACTTAAGTTTTGATGAATATCAAAGCTGCCAGTACCCTATTTACAAACAATATACAGGGTATATGAGTAATAATTTCATGATCATTTTTGGATATAATTTCTAGCGGCTTCCTGAATATTTATCCCGCAATAGACACTTTTTGGGGAAAAAAAATCTTTGATTTGATGTGCGCTCATGTGAGTTCTTCCTCTTAAGATAGAAAGAGATTGCATTTGGTGTTGCATGTAATTAGATGGTAATATTTTTATTTGCTTTGTCCTCTTGTTAAGATGTGTTATATCAGGAAAATAAAGTATATGCTCAGTAGAGAGGGTGTAATATCTTGTCTGTTAATAAAACATAATCAGCAATTATGGACAACCATTTTTTTTGCCAACGTTGTGAATATTACAATGCCTCTGAAGTCACAATTTTACTTCCTGTAAAATGAAAAAACACAGAAACTGATTCAGGTCCAGGATACTCTAATGGAACAAATCCTACCCTGGAAAGTGCCCCTTTTGAGCCACTGCCCACCAAAGGTCTCTGCTGACCAGGGTGCTAGGTTTTATATTCCTATTCTTATTTACTGTGCAATGGCTTTTAAATGACTGAGTCACTATGTCCTCAGTTTAACATCTCAGGTCTGCATGCATTCTGCAGGTCTCTAGAAGTGAAATGTGAATGTTAAGAGAAATATGTTTGCAACAGATATAAATCTGGAGAGTCAATACAAAGAAATTAAGCAACAACGAAAAGCACATTGGAAGGAAAATCTTACCTATTAAAAAATAACTTCATATAAGAAGTGTGCATTCCAGTATTGCAGTGGAAGAGACAATGTTTTTTTGCCTACAATGTTTAGGGAAATCTACAAAGAATCCTATTTTGACTGGAAAATTCATATGACAAAATAAGATTCATATACTAAAATTAAACTGATTAAATATTTACTAGAATTACTACAATATTTATTAGAATTATCTAGATATAATAATGCTTTAATGGTATGCACTACATGAACTTGTCTTGCCAAAGCTTTGAACATTAAGACCATTATTAAAAAAAGCTATCTAACTACTAATAGTTAATGAAGAATAATATCTCTTTGCTCAAACATAAAGTTGTAATTTAATAATGATTGCAGTTAACAGGGCAATGTCTTTACATTTTTTTACCACCTATACGTATCTTCTGCAATAGTGTTGAACCTGAACAACCCTGTGATAACCACCATGTCATTTATAAAATTGATTTTAGCCACATTTACTAATGTGACGTTAATTAGATCAACTTAAACATGTTTAAAAATTCAATGAGCACACAACTGCATATATCTAAATCACATCATTCCCTTTTAGAATGTATTTATTTTGCCTATCAAATACAAAAAAAAAACCCCAGCAAAACCAGACACCTCAGTACACAATACACATACTTTACTAGATGCCAGAAAAACACCAATCTCTCACCTGCAAGTGTTGGAGGATGAGCAGAACTTCTTTCTTTGCACAGGGTAATTCCTTGAGTCATTAGGCAGTGTGCACTCAGCAGCTCTGCAGCTCCTATTAGACACAGATCCTCTTGCTCTCTGATCGCACTCAAGCGCTCTGAGAGGCTAACTGTAGGCGGGTGTGTGTGTCTGTGGGGGGGCGTTGGGGTTTGTCCCTGATAATTTATAGCAAGTCCGTCCCATTGTTCAGTATATGCCATCACCTGGTTGTCCTGTGCAGCATAATAATTATTAATCAAGACCTTGCATTTCCTTCGAGGTGGCCTTTACATCCCTTTGACATATCTGTGATTACTTTACAGCTCTCCACTGTAACTGTTTCACCTGCTGCTTCTTTCTCTGCTATTTTCCAGTTCCGGACTTACTCACCGGCACGATTCCTCACGATTATCCCTAAAATACCACTTAAAGCGGGAACATGGAGCGAACAATAGCAGCTGTCAGTAATGGGAATGGAATACTCGAAATCTGAGAAAAAAACAAACGTAGGAAATAAAAGCCAGATTCGTGCTTTCATTTGGAGCTTTTGGACGTCCCCAAAGAAAACATCAAGGCGGTGATGCCTCAATATTTTTAACTGATCTGTGATATAATCTACAAGGAAGTGATGAAATCCCCAAATGATCTGATTTGGAAATCTGCTTTTGCCAGAGAGTGCTGCAAACTGAAAGAGCTCACTAAGCCCTTGATGAAATCACAGAAAATGATATTTCCATAAGCACTGGTAATGCAATATTATTCATTATAAAATGTGTGCTATAAAACTATTATATTGCATACAATTAATTTACTAAACTTATACAGTACAACATTTTATTATATAATTTTATATACATATAGTACTTTTAGTTTCCTTAATATGAATCAGAGATGCAGTACGTGAAAAATAACATGAATTTTCAATCAGTATTGCAGAATTTGTGAGTCTGATATTAATTGTGCTTTTTTTTGCTATAAAGTTTTTCCTTCATTTCATCTTTTTCAAGAATACAAGACTCATCTTGGAGCAGTACTTACTTCTTCACCATCAGTCCTGGTAGGTCTCTCAAATTTGATAAATGCAGTGACTTTCCTGACTCTATTCTGGTTAACAGCCAAACAAGAGTCCCAACTATTTTATAAACTAATCATCTGAACTCATAAGGGAATGTAGTAGGCAAATCATTTAGAATATAATTTCTGTAGATTTAATGTAAATTGTGGCTCAGGAGCACTGTAATTGAAAATCATGGACACTTTTCACAAAAGATAGATATCTAATTGCACTGATGAATTGAATATGCTACACATGATATTCATTTCAAGATACTAAATGAAAAAGAACATATAGAAATAAATGGTAAAATGATAGTTTTGCTTAGCCTCACAAGTAAGATGGAAACATGAATTACCATAATCAGCACGCTGATTTACCATATTATATTATTTTTCTAATTTCAGCTAGTAAGCAGTTGATCTGTTCATGCACTTACATTTTTTCCTAAAACCATTTATATGGATTGTAGCAAAGGAAAGGCTTTCTTTGAATAATGTAAACCTCTTCTGAATTGTTTTCTGTTTGATGTAATCCTTTTTAAAAACAAAAATCTTGTCTGATTTGCTGAAACAATCATGTTTAATTGGGGGACATAAGAACTTCCTGCAATTTCAAGATGCAGATGTAGCTGTCTCCCCAAACCGTAGAGACAGAAAGAGGCATAACTCGCCAGCTGTTGATAGTCAGTTCTGAAATAACAAATTCTGTTATTTATTTTCTGTTCAATAACAAATCCAAGGAAATAATGACCATGATATATAGGATAGAATGGGTTAAATTCTCTTTGGTACAAAGCACAGCACTAATGAAATTGTTAACTTTTGACAAATTGCAAAAAATAATATAAAGAAAATATAGTACAGCCCTTAATAACCGGCTTGTATTCATCCCATATCTTCTTACCTTAAAATCAAACTGTAAAATGCTATTAACAGTCTCTCCAGTTAAATGATTAAGTAGTCAGTTCAGCATTTGTTCAGGGGAACCTATCTAGTAATAGTTCCTTCACTCAGTCCAAATTGCTCTAAAAATGTATTTCTGTTAGTAGTTGGATTAGACTTGCTCTTCTGTCACCGATTTCTATAGCATGAATGTCCTCTTTTATAACATCTACCCTTCTGTATGGATTCATTCATTCTTTCAAAGTTTTTAAATTGTTACTAATCCAGATGACCATAATAACAGGTCATCTAAACCTTTCTCCAAAGAGGTTTCCATTGAGCGTCGAGTGATTAACTCTGGATTTGAATGTCACTTTTTTTTTTTTCGGACTCAAACATTGCTCTTTCTATTTCTTGGACATATTGCCGGTGTCTCTTCCCACCTAAGTTGTCGCCAAGTTAACAGGGGGAAGTGTCCAAAATAATTTCAACGTGACCGAGTGATCAGCCACAAAAGGTAAAAATACCAAACCTGGATCGACGTGTGAACAATGCAGGTATTGTTCTCTGTGGGATAATCCTGTTTAGCCTTTTGAGGGGCTCACATAAATTAGAGAACGGGGAAAGTTATATGATGTTGGGGGTCACAAGCTGGCATGTAAGCCACCTCTTCATAATATTAGCACTAGGACCCCAGGATATTATCGCCCTTCGCTGGGCTGTCTGCCGCTGTGCTCTGTACCCGGCCCTGCAGGAGGAAAAAAAAACAATGTCTAGTTTAGGCAGTTGTTACTTTTTTTCACCCTTCAAGTGTTTTTTCAAAGACGCAGCCTTCCATAGAATCCCCCTCTGTGTTGAGTAGTGATTTACATAATCCGATTTGGGGGGATTATTTTGAGTCCCTGAAAAACGGCCACACTGGGCCTGATCTGAATTCCAGCTATTCACTGCGCCTGCTACACTTCCAAGAGGCTGCACCTGCACTGGTAGTCACCTCTCCTCTCGGGCCTGAATACTCGGCAGCCCACCACACAATGCCTCCAGTGCATTTAATTGATCCATCGGAGTTACGCTCAAGATGATGGAAAATGAAAGTCAGGCCAGTTAGTCTTATCCAACGGGTCATCGGTTTCTGAAAAGGCCTGATCTCACATCGGGGTGCTCTAACCCCCCCACCTCCCACAACACACACACACACTCCCACTCCCTGCAGTCCGATCGCTTCCCTCACACCTCATCCCAAGAATATTCCTCGACTGGGGAGGCACACACGCTCCGGATAGCCTGTGCAGTGATTCACTAAGCCTTAGCATCACATTTTAAACGTCTTTCTTCTGTTTTTAGGATTTCCCACAACTTCTGCTGCCCCGCTGAAGCTGAAAAACATAAACTGAGCATGATATTACATGTTGTTTACTGCAAAGGCATTATTTCAAATACGGAACAAAGATTTTGTTTTGTGCCTCTTTTAAATGAACTAGGTTTTTTTTTAACTGTGGCGTGGTTTCAAGAGAGCCTTGTGGGTGTTTAATTTTACACTGTTATTTCCTACATGGGCCTAGTTGAAGGGGCTCCAGACCTGTTTAAAAAACCCGCTGAGACACGGCTGTTCTCTTCAGCAAAGTACTTCACAAAAAGTGCTTCGGAAAAAATATCCAGCTGTGTAAATTGGTGAGTCATTCCTGGGAAAAAAGCATCTGCCAGACAAATTCATGAAAAAAGTCCTCTTGCAGAGCTTTCAAGTGTTGAACAAAACAAATTTGGTCCGTTTCATCAACATTTTTCCAAAATCAAGAACAAACAAAATCTTATTCTCATGCAGCCTATGAATAATTCTATTCAATCAACCGTCCTGGGTAAAGTCAGACGTTAAAAGGTATAAACGGCTCTGACCTTTGTTGTGTAAAAAAGGACCTACAGGCTAGATTTGTACAACTGTCCGTTCTCACAGTAAATCTCTTTTTTTACACACCTAAAAAATGATCTCTGAGCAGGGGTAATCATGGACCCATTAAGCCCGTGTTTACACTGTGTTGAAATGTGGAGTTTGACTAGACCAATGCCTTTTTTGTTTTGTTTCCTTCCAACAGAAGGTGGCTATTTTATCCCGGCTTTTTCTATAGCACTGAGTCATGTGGTGTTACGCAGTGATCAGAAATGAAAGTTGGGAGTTATTTACGGTTCTGAGTCCGGATTCTGCCAGGAATCGGCGCCTGTGGGCTCGCTTTGTTTCGCCTTATTCCTGCGAGAGCTCACTCCAGCATGCTGGCTTGTGAAGATAAGCGTTTCCGACGCTCTGCAAGAGCTCGATAGCGGGAGTGTTCTGTTAATGAAAGATTACCTTTTAAGCATGTACGGAGAAGCCTTATCAGTTCAGCCACAATGCAACACCCACTGTCAAAAAAAGACATTTGTATTATAAAATGTTGAATTAATACACCATTTCAGGGGGATTTAAAATATATGTATGCATATACATGTTCACAAATAAACATTGACACAATTGATTCAGTTTTAGTATTTTGCGGGTATTTAAATTAATTGATTTTTTTATTGCATACATCACACTGCCCCTAATCCAAAAGAAACTACCGGAACTCCATCTTAGCGCTTTGGAAAGCAATTGCTATGTATTTATGTGGGCAATGTTTCGTTGTTTGGAAAACTTATTTAGTTTCCTTGATGTCTATAGGCCTAAATTCAACTGCCTGACATATTTCTTACCAATCCACTGTTACAATGAAAAATCTTTCTTGTCTTGTTAAAATACTATATAACGGTTTCCTGAGGTGAATGTATTATGGGTTAACCAAGTTAAAAAATCCTACATTGTAATTCCTATACAGTATTTCCTATTCCACTGTATTTTCATGTTATAAATTCCCTTGCTACATTAATCCACACTTCAATGTAATGAAATGTGATTTATACATTAGAACTTTATCATAAATTTTCAAAATATGTTATCAGTTTGCATTAGTATAATACTATGCAGGTCATGGCATTTTATGGATTTTACTACAGTGACACAATTTAATTTAAGATTCTTAATTTCATTTGGATATAAATCTGTAATTGCAGCGGCAAATCTATTTTTGTGGAATTCACAATGCATAGTTTACTCTAAGTCCGGAATATTTCGATACACTTTTACAAAGCAGAACATTTACTTATGTAAAGAATTTAAGTGTCACTGGATAAAACCCCTAAGTTTAAGCTGCCTGCCTAGTGTACAGTAGTGTTGCTGTCCCACTTTATCTTTGTTTTTTTAAAAGTTGTGATAAATATTTCTAAAATGTAAGTGCGCTGGATGTTTAAAAACATCTTTTACAAATACATAAAACTATAAGAGAGGTTATGAACATGTGAAGACCTTGTGGCCCATTTTTTGTGGGAGCTCTTACCCGTTTGGGACATATTGATCCAGACTCCCTCAACCCATTTTCTTATAAACTGACTACTTGTCCTCGCTAGAGTTCCAAATAAGTAATGGTGACTTCATTTATATCGTTAATATGTTTTCTATTTGCTTTTACTGTACATGTACAGCACCCTGCCATGAATAACGCATTATAAATTACAGACTGCACTTGTTTCAATCACCCCTTCATGTGTCTGCCTGCTATATTTTTTTTATAGGTATAGAACCTCCAAAACATTTTAATTGAAATGGGTTTGTTTCTCTTAAAGAGATATGTATCACCCAGGACTCGATTTTTTCCCTCTTTTTGCATTAACTATTCATCTCAATGTAACCTAGGACAGACATTTCATTAATTAGATTTGGCCTTTGCTTTAACAAGGTCCCTGTGATGTTCTTTATAACGGCTGGGCTCAATGTTATACTCACCTCTGTCTCGAGTCACACTCATTTATGGGGCTGTCACAGCTTAATCCAAACACAAACACTGTACCTAGTTTATGGCTTGATGTAAATGTGCTTTACTTTGCAAGTTGCTCTAATTACTTGTAAACATAGCAGTAAATGTTCTGAAAGGAAACATTATCTGAATGCGGTGAATGGTGCTGTCCACCTGCCTGGCTTCTGTTCACCAGGCAAATTGACCTTTTGACTCTTGTGTTTTCATGTAACAAGAAAGAGCATCACCCTGCCTGTGCTGAGTTGTACATTGTGCTGTACATAGACTAATACAGTCAAAATTAAATCCAAACCTCTTAAGGAACATGTAACAGACTTTGAATTGTATAATTGGAGAAAGACACCACTTTTTAAATTCAAATTCAGATTTCTAAACATCTAATGTTGCCTTGCTTTAAATAATCCATGCAGATAAACATTAATGGATAGCTCAGCTAGCTGAGGAAAAGACCTACGGTGGCCAATGCTGTCCCAACTCCTCTCATTTACAAGGAATGAGCCAGGGAGCTGCTGCAATGGTGAGGCTTTAGGAAAGATGTGTGTAGTGTTGTTTGCAGCCATGGAGTATTTAAATACAGGGGAGAGAAAGCAAGACATTAGAATTCGATCTCCTCAAAAACGTCTGTTGAATAACACCATTTATTTTTTAAAATATATCATCTTTCTCATTAATTTCCCTGTACTCACATGTAGAAATTTAACATGCCTCAGACACCATTGTGTAGAGTCAGTCTTTCCCCCATGCATATATAACAGGAGTGACAGGAGAAACAGGAGAAGCTTCAGCCCCTTGAAAGCTAGACAGTGTACAACACAGACTGACCACCAGTCTTTTGGCACAGTGCAGTTAACCCCTGTCCTAGGTGTGGCGCTGTGTGGCTTGTAGCCCATGAGTTACAGGAATTGAATCCTGGCAGGGGCAGGGAGAGCAACCACGCAAATCTCAGTTCTCAGGCTGTTGTCTGTCAATGGCTGAGGTTGCTGCGGAGGAGAGTAGGGAGAATTTAGATGGGGAGAGAGTAAGAGGGCTCATGCATGAGCCCGTTACAGAAGTGACATCACCCTCTCACTGAAAGCTAGACTGTGTATAACTCTGCGGCAGCAGAGGAGCAGTCCTTCGGCTTGGCAGAGTGCTCTGCTGTCTAGGGAGTGTCATCGTATGTCTTGGAGCCTACAAGCGCCTGGGATCTCAGAAAGAGAGTGGGTCAGCTGCACTTGTCATACAGAGATAAAGTGTTCTAAGAAATCAAAACTGTGAGCGAGGTGGTTTATCATGTGTCCGACAAGGAAAACTGCCGGGCTCTTCTCCTTCTTCCAGCTAAGCTTTTTATGCGCCTGATTGAGAATCATTGTAGCTTTCACTGGCAAGAGGCTTTGCCTAGCTGGTACAGTAATGGCCTTGGATCCCACCTGATGTTTCTGAATGTTCGGGAAATGATTTTCTAGCGACAGCTCAGCAGCCCTTGGAAAACAGTGTAGAGGATGAAAGAAAGTCCATGTTGTCTATAGCTGCATAATCAGCTCAAAATCAGGTCAACGGCTTAACACAGTATTATAATACATCCACGTGGATTTCAAGAAAATGATTGCTGAAGATGCATCACATTTTTATTCAAACGAATCCTCATCAGGAAGAGCGAAGCAGAAAACTGGCAGAGTGATTCATATAAACGGGCAAGACAGCCCAAATCCTCTCACTTATGGTTACAGCATATTCCTATCTTGTATCATAGGTTCATATATAGATTCATCATTTGCTAATTTTGTCACAAAACTGAATGTGTGTGTGGCATCTTTGTCTCTAGAAATATCACGAGACATCAATATCAGATAGGCATCTACAGTATAAAGTGATCCACAGGATCAAGGGCAGAGAAAGTTGGTTAAGAATATAAAGAAGTATTAAGAGTATTACATGCCAAAATTAGTCTAATGTCTGAAATGTCTTGTTTTGTATATGCTGTACTTGATGATATCTATCATGGTGCCGAAACAATCCCAATTATAATAAAAAAGACAGAACCTTAAGACAATACTGATTATCAGTAGACAGCAGTTTACCAGAAATATTTAAAACTGAAATATTTGTTGGTTCCTGCTGTATGCTTGAGTAATATGCCAATTGATCACTTAGTGCTTTGATACAAGAATATACATACAAATCTCTTTCTCCTTTGTTTTCTGCACATCACTGCCTACAGAATATCTATTTGGACTGAAGAGTGTTGTCGTTTTAGGGATTACTTTCTGATTGTAGCTGTATTTTAACAGTATATTGTGCTGTTACCTTACAAGGACTTTTAAGATCAAACCATAACAGACTGATGAAGAAGTATAGAGGTGAATATTGGAGGTGAAAACAATCATGGCTAAGCTCAAATCTGTTTTTTGCATCATTTGGCATCCAAAATCAAACACTGCAACAACTCTTAAGAGAGAACAATCATGAAAACAAAATGTTGATGGATCTGGTTTATTTAGTATGTTCATAAATATGATACAATTGCAACAATAGGTGCTGACAGTATACTGTATTGAAATAATGTTAAGATTCTGTCCATCCTTATCACCGCGATGAAGTTAGTGCTAAGATTGTTTTTCACAGTTACATCAAACTATACATTAGGGAATTTTCATAAAGCACTGTAAAAACGACAAACAAAAAACTATGATAGTTTGCTTAACATTAAAGTCTTTGTAAACTATATATACAAGACACTTATATGGTTTAAGTTACCATAAATTACAGTACTGACTTTATGAGCAGAAATATAAAAACGTTTACTTCTAAAGGAACAATAAGACCACAAATATTAGGTAGTTTTATAGAATAAGTACAAATTTGGCTATCAATTCTGGCTAATATGTAATATTACATATTATGGCTAATATATAATATAGTGCATTAAATATATAAAATCTCTCTTGTACTTAATCTGGGAAGAAATGAGTTACATTAATTACATTGCATTTTAAAGCATTTAATGACCTTTAGTACACATGTAGTACAATATAAAGTACTGTAATAACTTACCTAAGATTTAACAGTGTAATGGACATGTTTCGAGAACCAGGTGAAGCTTTAATGTAGCTGTTCAGGTTCAGTAAATTGTAAGCCTCAGAATTATGGAACTGCTAACAGAATTACAGATGCACACGGAGCGTGTTCTTCGAGTCCCTTCTGCCGATGCTGCTGGAGAAGCCATGTACCATGTTTCCCCCTCGCTCCAGTCCTTCCAGATGTACTGTGCAAGTGGGGACCACCATTGCGATGGACCACGAGTCAAATCCTCTGAGAGGAGCTGGACGAGCTACTGCACCCTGGCACGGACCTGGACTTGGGGTTCATGCTGACCACGGTTCAGGAGTTCACGGTGATTTCCCCATCAGGAAGAACCACTAACACTTACATCACCTTGCAGCTTTTTTCCCCTGAATGTCACCTTACAGATGTTTTAGTGAACAGTCTGCCTCCAAGACTGCAGAGCTGCAATTTCCATCCATCTCATTAAACGCAGGGGTAACCAGAGCTGGTACTGGTTACGAACCCGGGGGCTGTGTTACGCATGATCTTGTGTGCTGGGTCCACTGGGCTGAAACTGGACATCAGCACCTCTAGGCTTGCCATAAATTCAGTTTTGCTAAAAAAATATTATAGAACGTCTTATAGAAAATTGTATTATTTCATGTAGTTTACACTAACACTTCTAAACCCTTTTCAATCAATTTGCAATTGTTTACCTTATGTGGAATTCTACATTTTCGAAATGTTGAAAACATTTTAGTTCATACCCACAAGTTCCTCTGTTTTCTATAGCTGATATTACAAAACTTAGAAAATTTTGAGAAATGTCAATGCATTCTAACATTTGTGACAAAGTTATAGTTTGCTTTTATTACTCTAACCATTTGTGTAGCATATTTAAATTCTTCAACTTAGACTATGTATATGTACGGTCAGTTTTTTAGCTGGTGAATTTACTCTCATGAATCTGCAAACTACTACATGCATTAAGGTTTGTGAGCTATAAGCAACTTTCCTGGTGAGCTTTGCACCAAGATACCGATTTCTTTATTTGGATAAAAAAACAGATTTTTAATGCAATAAAACTGAAAACAGAAAAGATGACTACAAAATAATTTTCAAACTCATTTGAAAGAAGAAACGGGAGAGAAGATAATGCAGTGATTTAAATAAATAAAACAAACTAACAGCACATTTACAACCTGAAAGAAATGACTTGATATAGTCCTGAATGAGTTTCACATCTCTCTACTATTAAAGACTTTTCACAGCAGTTGTTTATGTCTTAAAACCAAATCCAAATATGTTAAAAGCACAAGCAAAACAGTATCTAGTCCAATACCTATATTTCTTAAATATCCCTAAAATAGCAGTTTCTATAGTGAGACACGGCTGCCTACATACGTTATACCATGCACTGTTGCTGTCACTGAGAGTTTTTTATATAAACCTGAAGCAAGAACGGTGTTCTGGTCTATTTGTCTTGATATCTAAAACTGAAAATAAAGATTGTTCTTGGATGCCAGCTTTATAGGTGAAGGATGGTTGCATGAAAAATAGCTATTTACTCCAATTAGAGAAACTACATTATTTTTGACAAGACAATCAGGATCAGCTAGTACTGTGACAGCACAAAGTGTGGTTCAGATGATAAAAAGTCTTCAGTGTGGAATGGTAAGGTGCATTAAATACAGAGGCAATGGACTACTGTGTAGCACACTAGCAGTAGTGCCACTTTGCTAAATTAACACAACCTTCGAACATAATAACTCTCAAGGAAATGAACACGGATTTCTACAGCAGACTGAGGGAGCTTGCAACATGGACAGTACGGAGTACTTCACTAACAAATATAAAAGGAAGGTTTTCTTTTTATGACATTATGCTGGATAGATAATATTAAATGTAAGTAAGAAGACTCAGATTGGAATTTACACCTAATCTATGGACATTAATAATGTTCAGTTAATGCAGCATATGTTAAAAATAGAGTTTCAAGTAACAATAGATCACCGTTTGTCTTTTCCGTGGCTGGTTCAGCTCAGTAGACCTGAATAACCTCATCCCATTCCGCCACTGGCCACTGTCCATTCTCCTGCACGTTGGAGGGGGAGCTCTTCCAGTCCCAGGTCTTCACGGGAATATTCCAGCTCTTCCCATAATTGGCTTCAATGTATTCCAGTGTTTCACACGGAACCTGCACCTTCAGCTCGACCAACTCCGTCCAGCAGAGGCTAAACTTTGGGAAAACATACCTGCCAAGACAGAACCTCCCTGTCAAGTGAGAAGTCACTCCACCCTTCCCCATATTTATTACTTGCTACTGATTTTTTATTAAGAGCTTATTACTCCAGACCTTGAAATATGAAACGAATCTTACTTCAGACCAATCTGTTTGGCATACAATAATGTGTACCGAGCAAACAACGCTGCAGGAATAAAACTTTGATGAACTGGACAAGATGGAGAAAAACGGAGACACTCACTTGAACTTCTTGCCACTCTTGGCCTGGGTGCCACCGTTCCACACAATATCACTGTCCTCGTAGAAGAAGAAGATATCGAGCTTGACGTCTTGACCCTGGAAGGAGAGCTCCAGGCTGTCTTCAACCTGCAACAAGTGTTACATTAACACGCACCGCCACCCAGTGAAAGCCAGACTGGAGCACGTACAGCTGCAATGTGATGATATTTACATATTTACTGTCACGGACAGCCTTTTGTGAGTGACCTGCTCAGTGCTACTAGTTCAATGCCTATCACCTCTGGTTAGACCATGAATGCCTTTTTTGCTGTGTAATGTCGATGTGTGAGATGTTAGTTATCCCTAACTGGTGTTCAAATAAAAAAAAAAGTACATAGAGTTATTCAAAAATTGGGAAAACTATACTGCAAAAAGGCGCCTTCCTCTGATGAGACATAAAACCGAGGTCCTGACTCTCTGTGGTTATTAAAAATCCAAGGAAGTTTCTCGAAAAATCTGAAGGTGTTTACCAATCATGGCCTCCTAATAATCCTAATAATTGGCTTCATCACTCTGTTCTCCTCCCCACTGATAGCCGATGTGTGGTGAGTGAGTGCACTTCGGCAGCTGTTGCATTTTCCAGGTGGGGCTGCACATTGGTGGTGGTGGAGGAGAGTCTCCACAGCCAGTAAAGTGCTATGTGAGTGTAAGGATTTTTTTTAACTCTTTGTTTGCAAAGGCCTGCACACGTGGTGTTGTATTTACAGTTCAGTTCAGGTGTGGCACACCTGTGTGTTTGATTATTGATTAAATCTGACATGAAAAAATTCCATTCACATACGTTCACATACTGTATGCCTTTCTCCGTCAAGCATGTGTGAATAAGAGTTTTTCTTGTCATACTGTAAGTTCATGTTTCGGGAACTTCACAAGTGAAGCTGGTATGAAGGTGCACGAGGACAATTGTGCTTGATTCCAATTAAAGCAGCATTATTAGTAATAAATCACAAGTAGTATACTGTAGGATTATCTAACTGCATGTGGCAAACAACAGAAGAACCACTCCTTGATTGATCACAAGCAGTCCAAAGTAATAACGCTTCACTCGGCCAATGTGGCAGGATGCCTCAAGAAAGGTCTATATTCACAGTGGGTCGACCAGTAGAGGTCGCCAAAACGCGCATCATAAACATAAAATGACTAGTAGTTTACATGTGTGCAAATGGGAGATGGTGATTTTAGGGTGGTAATCAGACAGCTGGTCTGAGTGGGTGAGGAAATGGCAGTCTGGAGTACTTTCATAGTAAAACCCATTACAGAGTAGCTGAAGCACTCTTTAGTCTCTCTAAAACCTTTGAATGTGATTATAAAGTCTTTGTACCCCCTTTTTGTTTTTGATTAATATTTTAAAAATAAAGGAAATGGACTCCTGGACTTTCAAAAACCAGAGCACGGGGAATGTTTTTTTGTACAATGGTCCCCCTGTGCCACCCTAGCAAAAAGTGCGAACATCACAAACCACAGGTATAAAAAAAGATTCAGAATTTACCTTTCCAAATTTATGTTTGAGCGGAAGGCCGGCCTTCTGAAAAGCTGGAATGATGTCAGGCCGGTAGTCCTTTATCCAGATGCCCAGGTCAACATCCTTACTGTAAGGAATGATATTGCACTGTCGAAACCAACCTGGAAAGGGCAACACTGTGTTATCAATACAGAAATACGTGTCTGTTTAGAGTAACAGACTAGAGTGGAGACCTCCTGGCAAAGCTAAGGTTGCTGCTGGAAGAGATGTTAGAGGGACCAGTAGGGAGCCAGAGTCTGTGTGGGTCCTAATGCACTAGACTAATGACGGGGACACTATACTATAAAAAAGGTGCCGTCCTTCAGATAAGACATAAATTGAGGTCTTGTATCTTAGTGGTCATTAAAAACCCCAGGGCATTTCTTGAAAAGACTAGGGGTTTTAACCCTAGTGTCAAGGCCAAATTTCCCCCAGCCTTTACCAATCATGGTCTCCTAATAATGCCCATCTATGAACTGGCTTCATCACTGTTCTCCTCCCCACTGATAGCTGATGTGTGGTGAGCGTTCTGGCGCACCATTGCTGCCATTGTATCATCCAGGTGGGGCTACACATTGGTGGTGGTGGAGGGGAGTCCCCATTACCTGTAAAGTGCTTTGAGTTGAGTGTCCAGAAAAGTGCTACATAAGTGTAAGGATTATTATAATAAACTTTGAAAAAACGTGTAGTCTTCTTTGTTCAAGAGAAAAAAGATTCAGTTATTTCAGTCTGTTAGGACACCTCAAGTCTGGGAATATACTTGCACCTGGATACTCTTCTCAGCACTGATTCCACAGCATCAAGATCTTTTTTTGTATTGTGGAGGCCAAGATCTAACATCATTTAACATGCAGTGCACTACACAAATTTAATTTGGAAACCTATTTCGGTTTACATTTAATAAATTTGACTATATACCCAAACACTATTTCCTTTTTTGTTGCTCTACATTGTCTAGAAGATTCAAATAATGTGTCGACACCAAGAGCCTCAATTGTTTTTATAGTTAGCTTCACAAAGCTTAGTATTTCCAGTTTTTCTGCCTTCAGCTAACACTCTGTACTTACTGAACCTCATGTAAGTATTCAAGAAGAATTCAAGAATGGGCCAACCTCTATTTAAACGTTACATGTATAAAAACAAGCAGATGGAAAAGCTCTTAGAAATGTCAGTCCTCACCCAAACAAGTGCCGCTGCTTAACCAGAAGGTCACGCCGAGGGCGTTGAGTGTCCTGGCTGCCAGGTGAAGTAAACTCTTAGCCTTCTGTCTGAAATCCATGGCTTCCTGGGAAGTATCATCAGGGTACAGCTGAGGAGCAAACAGGGCAAGACAAGTTCATGTAACAGCAGGCCAAAGAATGACATCCATCCATCCATCCATCCATCCATTCCTGGGAAGGGTTACAGCACGCTGGAGCCCGTTCTGGAAGTACGGAGTACAAAGCCAGCCTACTGCAGCACAAACGGGAACAATTTAGAGACACCAAAAAACCTAGACAGCATGTGTGCTGAACGGGAGGAAGCTGGAGTAAGTGGGGTAAAAAAAATGTGAGGCAGCTGTGTGAACAATCACTCCCTGAACCACCCCTGGGTCAGATATTCTAAACCTCATCTACTGTACAATAAATCAATTTTCTTACAGTGAACAATACAACTGAACACAATACTGTCAGTAACGATACTGCTGTCTGTTACAGGGCACCTCTTTTCTACAACATAAACATAAACAGAACAAAAAATCAGGGAGAAGGCTAAGAGTTTAGGCTAAGAAGACTGGAATTTTGGAGAACTTATATTGTATGATTCTGTAATTTTTTACAGATCTGTAATTTGTTCAGTATTTATACTCAGAAGATACCGGGAAGATTATCGTTAATGTAGTATTGTAGTATTACGAGCATATAGCAAAAATCCATACAAAGGAAAAATACTGTTTTTACCATTTAGTGTCGACCTTTTTTTGTTTTGTATTTCTTTAATCGGTTCTAATCAATCAGATGTAAGTGTGCAAAGCAGATGTAAATCACAACATGACTGCCATCATCTGGCCAAAAAGTGTCATAGCAAATAAGAAGAGCTAAAAACAAGAGGAGGAGGTAATCTGGCTCGTTTATTACTTAGTAAATAAATAAATTTGAGGTTTTGCTCAGCCATTTCAGGATGGAGGCCAGGGCTCAGGCCTCACCCGCCAGAGGAAGCAAGAGCAGGAAAAGGTCAGGATGCTACAAGTGAGGAAACCCTGGAGGTGAAACTAGAGCATTGTCCTGTCTTGACCAGAGGTGGGCGAGGAGGAGCTCCCCTCACTGCGACCACAAACGGATGAGGGAAGAGGTGTCCTCCTCCCTCAGCTCTGGAAACACTGTCAAGCCGGGATATTGCTCTCTCGCATAGCAAAGGTTCTGCCCTCCGTCCTCAGATGGCAGATAATGACTGACCATTTGAAACCTCAGGCTCCTGCTTTGGCAAAGAACACCAACTGTCTTACGCCAACCAGTCAGGAGACTGAGGGCACAAGCTCATTCCCCACAGCATTCTGAGGAGTGTGGTTCAGGCAAGAATGGGCACTTCGCCCGGACTCACTGCCCACAAACAAGGCTCATCTTCAGGAAGACCTGGAAACAGTAGGACACTGCAGGTCCTGGGCATGCAGATCCTGTGTGGTGAACATGTACTGTATAAGATTGCAGCCTACAGCAGGGGGTGGACAATTCTGGCCCTGGAGCGTCAGTGGGTCTGCAGATCTTCTTTCCAAAGCACCAATTCCTGAACAGCTGGGATAAGCCGTAAAACTCGTCCTATTCAGCCAATAATGAGCTCTGAGAGCTTGTCAAGAACTGAACTTCACAACCCACAAACACACAGACCCACCAAAACCAGCATTACCTACCCCTGGCCTAAAGCCACCCATCCCTCTCTATAGCCCACCCTACAGCCCTCGTCCCCCCAGCGTGTGGCGTGCTCCATAAAAGGGAATGTCAATTGCTTACGTTCCTTCACTCCTTTACCAAGAATATCGAAATAGAAAGACAACAAAGACTATTACATGTATGTTACACATATGCTGAAACTTATTTAAGAGCATTTGATGGTTCAAAATGAGAAGACAAACCTGATAGAAAGCTCGAGCCTCCTTGTATCTGCACTCCAGAAACCTGGCGTGACTGACCTCATTCAGGAAGCGGGAGATGTTCTTTGGAATGCGGATGTTTAAACCATCCACAGAGGTCAGGAGCAGCTCTGTTCTGTTGCAAGAAAACCAAACTATATGAAAATATCCAACGAAACATCGCAGAATAATTATGAATGGACATTTCTAGAGAAATTAAGTAAGTATTATGGATATTGAACGGTCTTGGTGTCAGTTTGATTCATAGATCATGATCATTGTTGATCATACCATAAGAAAGGTTGACCATTCAAAGCCTCGCATTCCTGCTTTTTCAATGATCACCTGATCAATTGAATGACCTCAACAACTGAACCAACTGTCGATGGTGACTGACATTGAGAAGTTTATGCGACACTTACTGGGGTGATTCAATGAGTCCTTACTTAAAAAAAAGACTGGAAATAAGTGAAGAAAGAAAAACACAGAAAGGAACTAATATATTCCACATTTCAAGAGAATAATACCTTCATGTCAACAGTATTTTAGGGATTTTCCTAAACAAGCTCACTGCAGGCAGGTAGAACTTTCCCCATAAAAAATAATGGAATTTATATTTCTGATTTCCTGATCACAAACACATTTTCAGGAATGAATTAGGTTTGGATACCGGGGTATGAGTGCTTATTAATATTATATTAATAATATCTATATTCATTTAGAATTAATAGATATTTAAGCTGCCACTGAGAAAAACAAAAACAGATCACAAACTGCAAAGACCGATTGGGAAAACGAGAGTTTCCGATGCTTCACAAATTGGGATGTCCCCCCCCCAACTCATTCTTCAAAAGAACATTTCGGACGCCTCACCTGTCAAAGGCCCCAGCATGGCGGCCAAAATCGAGCTTGCGGAAGGGCACGAACTTCCTGTCGGCCCCGGGCCTGAGGCGCAGGGGCCCGTGCCAAAGGTAGCCGCCGCTCCTCTCGTAGAAGACCAGCAGGTGGACGGCGTGCGCGCGCAGGCGGAAGAGCAGGTGCAGCGGGATCTCCATGCCGGACAGGTCGTCCGGGCCGGCCAGACGGGGGTCCTTCCCGCGCACCTCCAGGAACTCCAGCCCGGCTTCCGCAGCCGCGTGGGCCAGGCGTGCCTGAACACCAACGGGGGCAGCGTCACTGAACCCTCCCGGATGCTACCTCTGCACACACAGAGGCCCAGGAAGTGCGGGGGTGGGGGTGGGGGTGGGGGGCCGACAGCCCTGCTCAGGCCACTGCCATCGTCATCAAAGACAGCAGAACACAATAATAATAATAATAATAATAATAATAATGTTTCTTTGTTAGCCCTATACAATTTCTTGCATTAGGAATTCATCTTTTCGCATACCCCAGCTTTTCTCCATGGAGACACAGACACACAGACAGGACAGGGAGAGACGCTTGGGGTCAGAGCGCAGGGTCTGCCATTGTACGGCGCCCCTGGAGCAGTTAGGGTTAAGGGCCTTGGGGAGTAGGATTCCTCTGCCGGCCGCGGGATTTGAACCGGCAACCTTCCAGTCACAGGCGCAGATCCTTAGCCACAGAGCCACCGCTCCGCCCCGGTTCTACCGCTTACCGCTCCTCCGAACACGGTGAAGTAGAAATATATATTGTAATAAAAAATCATATTATGGTTTAATCTGGACTATTAAATAATCGGAATACAGTATAACACTCGGTTTTGCTGAAGAAAGCAATGAGGTGTAACAGCATCTCAATTTAAGATGCACCTTGCACCAAGGCAGCAAAATCAAACTGGGAAGCAATAGCATTTAAGAAGGTGGCAAGAGATGTTTGCATTGCGTGCGCACTTTCAGTGTTCCCTTCAAGCCTGAATGAAAGTTCAAGGTGAACACTTTACTAATGCAGTGTTTTCACACACCCGCATCCTTCATTACTTACATCATTCTTCCAGAATTTGGCCAAGAGTGCAAACGTGATGAATTCTCTCTGGGTGCAGATGTATCTGCAGTCCTTGCCCTTGGAAAGACTGTCCTTCAGGGGGTGTGCGTCCTGAGAGAGCAGACCCAGGACTACGGGGTCGATCAGGTACACGGGTAAGTTGTGCTTGGCCACCAGCTCCATAAACTTCTTGGTGACGTGCTAGAGGCAGTAGAGAACGCAAAGCTCAAATGCCGAATGCTAGACAAATGTGCTATTTGACTTATCTCTGTTTTCTTTTCATCAATTTTTGATGTTATTTGCCCACAAAATGCACCAAGAAAAGTCACTGCTGCTAAGTGTTTATATGAATACAGTACCTGCAAACACAGGCATAGAGCAAGGCAATCCTGTTGTTTTGCTCCTCAGGTCAAACGAATAACACTATAGGTTGCGTGCAAGATTAACCTCACCCACAGGGGGCGCCTTGCCCACGGTGTACCCATGGTGTACCTGGGATAGGGTCCGGCTCCCTCGCAACCCTGAATTGGATGAATCAGTCAGAAAATAGATGGATGGATGAATCTGGTATCTGAAATTTAAGGAGTTTCCCAGTACTCTGCCAGGTTCCCCATTAGTCCTATTATGGGATTCAATTGGGGGGTTTACAAAGACATATGTAAGTCATTTATAACTTTAACAGCATTTTCAGTTCTAAATGCTTACCTTTTGAATTTCTCAACAGTGATCATTCACTTCCAATTTGTCATGATATAAAATGCACTGTTTACTCACAGAGACATTTTTATGTTTCAGCCACCTATTGCTGTTAGGCTCGAAACCAATGCTTGATTTGTGGCCTTTTGTCTTTCAAGGAGAAAATACATCTATCCATTGTCAGAACGCGGGTGGTCCAGGTGTGGCTCATAGCTATAGAAATATCATATCAGAGCTGTGAGACAAACGGTAGGCCTGACAGAGTGTATGAATTCTCTCCCCCAGGACTGGACGCCAGGGCCACCGAGAGAGTGGCATCTTAGATTAGCCGCTCAAGCGTGTTCGGCTTGCTAGGAGGAAACTGATACAGCAGTCGAAAAACCTACACAAACCAAGGGAGAACACCACACACACACAGACGCCTGAATTGAACCCAGGACACGTGCCCCTGAGCCACCCTCAAAAAGAAGACGGGAAAGACGAAGGTGCGTTTGCGTTGCACGTGGTACTCACCCACTGAGCATCACTGGCGGGCAGACCGTCCTTAACTTTGAAGTAATGCGACCCATTCTAAAATAAAACAGCAAGTCAATGAGAATTCAGTAACAATGTTTGATAGGAAACCAAAGGTAGCCAACGCAGTCAAAACACAACAACTTAAAGGTCACAAAGGAAAGGAGGCCTATTGGCCCATCTAGCCCATCTGGAGTTAGCAGTTAATTGATTGAGGATCTCATCCAGCTGTTTCTTGAAAGAAGCCTGGATATTGGATTCAACCATGTGGCTGGGTAGCTTGTTCCATACTTCCCTAACATTCATAACAATGGGTAAGTAAGTGTCTCCGGTTCTCGGTTTTAATTGCACTTTCATGTAGTTCCCATATTTGTCCTATGGTTCATACTTTACTGTTCATTCAGGACAAATCCATTTGATTCATTTTGTCAATACCTTTGAGGATTCTGAAATCTAATATCAGACCCGCGTAACATTCTAGAAAGACCACTTTGGCTATCTAGTATAGGAAGAGCCGCCCACTGCACTGACAAGGTTTGAGCTGGACGAAGACCTGGCATTGCTGCTCTCTGCCTTCTAGAAAAAGGAACTCATCAGTGCAGATCAGATCAGAAGCTCTAGTGTTTGAAACTGCAGACCATGTCTAACACAGAAACTGTAAGGTAGAGATTAATTTGGTGAGTTATAGCAGAGGTCTTCAGTGATTAATCAATAGAGTCCAGCATAGACAGACACGTTTCTCAAAATTTGGTACTATTTACTCATAAGTCCATATCTCTTTTTTTCTTTCTCTATATACAGCAATGTAGAAATAGACATTGTGCATAGACGTATTTAAAGGTGCATGTTTGAGCTGGAAAAAAATCATAATATACATTTCTTACCTCCTGACTATATACTACAAATTCACATGAATATGTAACATAGTACAGCACGTGCATTTGAAACTGAGACCATGAGGCACCTGTTCCATACTCCCACAATACTGATGTCACCCTGGGTTCTTTCTAGAAATTGCTGGATGAGATCCTTGCATCAACCAGCTACTAGCAGCCAAACAAGAAAAACAGATAAGATGGCCTTCTTTTGTTTGTACCCTTTCATCCGTAATTCTGCTTAGACTGTTTCCTCACTACCTCAACTCTAAAGAATATTTTAAAGTCCCATTGAACAATTCTTTTTTAATAAGGTCACTCACAGTGGAGAGTAAAGAGCGAACGACTGGGCCCTGGGCAAGAAGACAAAGACTGAAAGAAACATTTTATCACACACCGTTATTCGTTACGCCAAAAAAGTTAATATTCTTTATTTTATGAACTGTAGACCAGAAATTTTCAGTTTCCAGTTTCACAACGGTCCAAAGGTGCTTGAAATCTGACGTTTGTCATGCTGTGTCACATCTTTGTAATAATAAATAATACAACATTATCAGCAATAACAACCATTACAACACACAAGCTAACATCTGTTCACTGCATACCTTTGACAAATACAGTTTGTAGTAGTACAGCTGGAACAACAGGAACACTGAGCTGGTCACAGTGAGCAGGGCCAGAACCACAGACTTGTTGATCCTAGGCATTAGTCTTCTTCGCTTTCTCCCTCAGTAAGGGACCGTGGATGAGCTGACTGGAATTTTATCATCTTCCCATGTGGTTTGCATTACTCTGACGCTGTGTGAAAAATAAAAATAGACCTCAGATTTCTGAGTTTTCACTAAATTACCACTACTGTGAACACTGTGGAATTTGTCTCAGATCTTACAAGTGATTCAAGCTATATATGTCGATTAAAGTATGAAAACATGCACAGCTCAATTTTTCCAGTCTTTGTTTCTATCCGATTTTCAAACTAAAAAGAAAGACTGCCACCCACTGGTCATTTCTTCAACTACATTTTTTTCCCATAGCTCTGAAACCGTTTGAAAACAACCTGATCATTTTTTTATATAACGTTTAAATAACTTCATTTCGGGGTACTGTACAAGACAAAGGCAAACCCCAGTGACAAAAATACACACATTTATACAGTAACTCGGACTGAAAAGCTACTTTATAAAAGCGAGTTCCAAGACAGGATTTGAACTGCCTTTCAAGATTTTAAATTGACTGTAAGGTTACAGTATATCCCAGTACGGGACCATTTGAACGAAATGCAAAGTTTCTTATTTATATCTTCGATAAACATTTTGAATTATAAAGCAAAATCTTCGAAACTGGAAAAATGAAGGAAACAGTACAATGCAGCAGTTTTCAAAATTACCTCTTAACGTACTGCACACGTACAGATAAATACATTCTGATGGGGCAGAAAATGTGTAAAACAAGGTTTCACAACATACGGTCAATTTTAAAAAATGAACTGGAACCAGGAATATTATTCATTTCACATCGTTTACTTTAGAATCCTAGTGTTGATAAAACAGAACCGCAGTACAACAACAGTACAAACAAAACTCTTTTAGAAAATAAGGCACGTAGTGAGAGAAAACGACATTACTAAAGCACCGTTAAAACAGGAGACCAAATGTAATAATTCCAAGATAATATAAGAAGTCCAGACATTTTCCCTAAGAGTCGATTCTTGAATCTACTGGCTAGGTACATACTGTTATGACATTGCAGACCAACACAAAATACAGTATATCAACTGTATCATTTACCTTTCAAGACGAACACACCCATTTGTAACGACTGTTTATGTGATTTTTAACTACATGACGTGAAATATTAAGAAACAGACATTTCAAGCATAAAACATTGGTTACAAGTCCGCCTCTATAGCTCTGAAATATAGATAAAGGTACAACAGAACAACATACTAACCCATCCAGTGCAGAGATTGTACATTCCCATTGAACCAACCATCCGCAGCTCACCCCGGCTACACACTACGGAACGCCATTAGTGACAAACGAGATAAAACCGTTTTCTCGGTGGACGAGCGAAGACAGAAAATAATTTTCCCCAGCTGGAAGATAAAGTAAAAGCGGAATTTCTGTATTGTTTTTTTTTCTCTTTTATGCCCTTGCCAAATTAGCTGTGCATCTTCTTTTAATTAATATGCCGCCCAGAAGTGTTTTAAATCGCCTTCTTGTGCATTAGAATTGGAATACACATTGAATATTTTTTCCGTTAGCATAAAGGATTTCATTAAAAATAAAAAGGTTCTTCAAGTAAGATGTTACCTATTCGTTGAAATGGGCCGTCAGTCCTTTTTTGTGCATGTCTATGGTGATTGCAAAGAATATTATCTAAAGCAATAGTTCTCAGTCCTAGGGTACCAGTAGAGTCTGTTCCTTTTTTGGAGGAGTCCAACTGGATCCTTAAACACCAGTGCCAATTCATTACAATTTTCTATTTGAGGTCATTTTTTATTTTATTTTATTTTTTTAGGAAATGGTATGAACCCTGTGGTAATTAGTGAGTTTCAGGACTGTCTTTGTTCCAGTGTGCCACCTGAAGTAAAACCAAATGCAACTGAGCAGAAAAAAAAACATCATTTTGAGAGCAAATATAATTCCCATTCCTGTCTGTTCATCATCACTTCATCTGTCAAGAGCTGTTTAGCTTGAAATAAGGGAGCACATTCTTAATTAGCAAGTTAAAGAGACTGCATAGTGTTCCAAGTACTGATGTCGGGAGAAAATTCACTCAGGGTTTTTGAAACATCTCAGCCAGAAAGCTTATCAGTTATAGAGCAATAAGCTCTGAAGATTGGGAGCTGTACTAGAACAAATCCCAGCAGACAGGTTTTCCAGAACCAGATTTCGATCTGCTGTAGGTGTTGGGACAGAAAAGTAACAGGCCCATGTGTGCTTTGATTTGGGTCACGATAGCAGGATGGTTCATGTGTGCATTGGATACAATGGATAAAGTCATGTCATCATTTCATATATATTTTTTATATAAACATATACATGACATGAAAGTACAGTGGTTAGTACATTTCTGCCTCACACAGCTGTGTATGCGAGTTCAATATCTAGGGTGCTACCTGCATGGAGCTTGTATGTTCTCTCCATGTTTGTATGGGTTTCCTCCCACAGTCCAAAGACATACTGTTAGGATAACTGGCTTCTGAGAAAGCTGGCCCTGGTGTAATTGTGTGTTTGTCTGTCTGCCCTGTGATGGACTGGCCTCCTGTCCAGGGAGTATCCTGCCTTGTGTCCATTGCTTGCCTGGATAACCTACAGCTCCCCCACGACCCTATATTGGATAAAGCAGTTTGAAAATGGATAGACAAAGGGATTAAATACTAGCAGATTCTCATTTATGTGGTAAGCTGACAAACTGGCTTACACCAATGTCCTTTCTTTTCTTTTTCTTTTGTGCAACAATGGACAATATAAACGGGCATATTTATCTGGATTTAGCACTAAGCGTCAGGCAGAAAAGATTTCATCATACAGCTACACTCAACCTCAGAAATTCAGATGGATAGTATTATCTTACTCTGCAGATTGTTCCAGTTCATCGCAGGGATGAGTACCAGTATTCAAGGCCGTGTGCAGAGGGCAAGTACCAGTACTTGGGGATGAGTACCAGTATTCAGAGTGCAGAGGGTAGGAGCACAAGTCACTGCAAGAGTGGACAAGGGTTGATGGGAACTCAGAAGACTTAGAAATCTTGCTTCAGTGCCTTTTTCTAGTCAGGTTTTGGAAGTTTATAGGAAATTTCTACTTTAAACAATGCAAAATATGCAGCACTAATTTGATTAAAAGAAACAAAGGTCTGCATTTTCTACATTTAAAAAAACACAACGCAAGCATTAAAATTTCAAACTAAAACAGAAACTTGAACTTTATTTATACAATAGATCACTGTACAGCATTAAGAATAAGAATTGAAAAAAAATTCTACTCAGGTCTTCATTGGATTTAAACATTCTTGCACAGTGTTACAAGTATTCATTTCCTGAAGTGAGAGGGAAGAAAACAACTCCACCAACACGTGTAAACATTGAGGAAGAGGTTTTGAGAAGTGACCAGTGGAGTCCCTGCCCCCAAGCAATATTGAAGATTACCATTCTCATCATCAGAATACTTAGGCCATCTGTTAAAACGTGCCTATTACAACATCATTATAAATGTATACTGTATAATGAAGTGAGTCGATCACTCGTGCATGTTTAAAGGTTTATTTTAAACATGCTGACTTGATAATCCCAGCTTAAAGGTTAACAGTTGTTTTTTTGGCTCATGTTCAAAGCTTCACATTTTTCCTTGCATTATGCTTTAGTGCACTGAAAGACTCAGCTCTGCCTTTAAGAGTTGTAGATACATTTGTTTGTTTATCTAGAGTATTAGGTATTTCGACATGGTTATGGGGAACCTCCGAATTCTTCAGATGATTTTTTCAGAATTCAACAGAAAAGGGACTCTGAGAAAGAACCTCCATTTCTTGAAACCACTTAGGTTTATTGGTCATTTTATATTAATACCTTTACTTTCTTGCATGTAAGTCTGTCAAAAAAATCAACTGTATAAACTCTACAGCAGAAAGAAAGGACGGGAGATCACTTTGTTACCGAGAGCTTTATTTTCACTTATGTTGATCTCCTGTAAGCAGTATTTCTATTGCAGTTCTTGTGCGTTCACACCTGGGGGCAGCAGATAGCAAAATCATAATCATTACCTATGTAGGTCTTTTTTTCTGCAAAAAAAGACCAGTATGGAATTATAATGTTCTTTTGGGTCCTCTTGAACTAATATCTGAAAAAGTACAGGAATTATAAAATATTTTCACACAGAGGATACTGCTTTAGAACCTTAGATATTTAAGAATCAGTTGGGTAACTACAGCCTATGATTGAAGGAGTCTACCTAGGTATACTTTCTGCTGAACTTCAAATACAGGATCGTGTGAAAATCATAGAGGAACAGGAAGGATCTGAGAGACTGTTTATAACCCATGACCCACGATTACAGCGACTGTGGAAAACCCATCAGTATCAAATTTTATGGCCCACATGCACTCTGAGGAGGTATAGTCTCCTTCAGCTACATAATTGAGGCAGAGGAAAGTAAAGACTTTAAGAAAGAAGTGCATAAGAGCAGCACAATATATAAATCTCAAATACAGAAGTAAAGCATTTTTCCATCATTTTGATTACATTTTTCCAGTTCACATATAAAGACTGCAATGCAGCTCAGCCAGTAATGCAGGTAATTATTTACGTGGTGTGCTAAAATTGTGTTCAGTACACGACCAGGAAAGAAAGATTCCTAGTCTCATTACAAAAGGATTCACACTCTCAAACAAACACACACACACATACTCACCTATATTCATACACCCAAAAAAATTCTAAAAATCCTCAGACTTCACCATGTGTCAGTTCTCACAGTGAACATTGCAACTGAACAGGCTTATCTTATTCCAGAATGCACCTGATCATTTAGGCTTAAAATCAGTGTTCAAACTAAACAGGAACAAAGAGGTGCACTCAACTGTTCCCCGATTATGTCTCTAGCATTCCCAGTAAAATTCCAAAACAAATAAAAGTCTCCTAATAGGTTTCAGTGAGATGGAAGCGAAGGCAGCCGGGCCTCGACAGCAGCAGATCTGGGCCAGTCCTCAGGGCCTCCCTGGGTTCATTCATCGTGGGTCTTCTCTTCGGGAGCCATCGGGAAGAGCACACTCGCGTAGGAAGCGACAGACTCTCCGGCTGCTCTGGCTACTGGGGCACACTGTTGAGGCTGCTGGCGGAGCCGCCCAGCCCGTTCTCGGCCTTCTGAAAGCACTTCACTGCGCTCGGGACCTGCAGGCCCGTGGACACCGTGAGCCCGCCGCACCACACCTGTGAGGAGACAGCTCACATGAGGAACCCACAGACTCACAGACACGACTGATGTGAAAGAACGACTTCATTCATAGTGAAGGATTGGACAAAATTTACCTCCTTCCCCACTGTTCTGTTCCTCAAAACACGCTCTTTACTCACGGAAAAGAGAAAAACAGGAACGTTTCGGCTGTGGAGCCTTCTTCGGGGTGAAGGCTCCACAGCCAAAACGTTGGGCTTCTTTTCTTCTCTTTTCACCAAGGAAGAAACGTAAATACCCTTGAATTAAAGGTGACATTCTGCGCTTTAACCTCATAGTCATTGTTTCATTTCAAATCCCATGTGTGTACAGAGCCAAAACAACAAAAATTGTCTCACTGTCTAAATACCTACGGACTGCGCTGTATGTTCAATGACCTTTCATAAACTTTCATAAACAATTAAAACTGAGAACAGGATGCAGGTCTTTACCCAAAGGGTTGATGGAGAGTGGAACAAGCTACGCAGCCATGTTGCTGAAGCCTAAACCCTGGTTTCTTTCAAGAAACAGCAGGACGTGGTCCTTGGATCATTTAGCTACGAACTACCTAATGGGCTAGATGGCCTCCTGTTTGTAACCATTCATTCTTATGATCTACTGTATCAAATCACCTGAAAGAGCTCTCAAAGGTTTTCTTTGTACACAAACTATTCCCGCTTGATTTTTTTCACCACTTTTAAGTTTGATTCTGTCCTTAATCTACATGCTGGGAACAAAATGTTAGTTGCTGCTGTACTTTTTTACATTGGTAGAGACAGATCCACTGTTAACCACCTGCAGTTCTTACAGTAGCTACTGTATGGGTGCCTTTACCGAGATCTCCCCTCTTAAGCAGAAGGGCCAGAATGTGTCCTACAGAGGGCGCTATGGAGCTAGGAAAGAGATCTCAAGTCCATGGTAATATTTTTGAAGTAGAAACAAAAATACATTGGTCAAATTTACCAAGAACAGATCAAGATCTGCTGCACTTACCATGAAGGCTGGTACAATGGACTGGGTGAACTTCGTTTTGAATGTGTGAAGTAACTGCTTACTATCTGCATTGTAGAAGGAGAGCTGACCTAGAGAAACAAGGAATATTATAAGATCCACATGAAGTACCATCAACATCACTTTAAGAATGTGTGTGCATCATAACAGTCTTTGCAGTTCTGTATGTGGATTAGCCAAGTAACACTGAATAAAGTCCTTTGTTAATCACGGCGTCAAAGTACAATGTCTTATCATAGTGCTGCATGTGATCACCACAGTTATAGCCTGAAGGAAGTGACTGTCTGCAACTATATCACATACATTTCTGCTTAAAAGAAACACTGCTGGTGTAAGCTCCCATAAGTATCAAAACTAAAAAAAAAAAAGATTTACAGTAAGTACTATAGTAATACTGTATATGGGGAACGAAAATTGCAGTGCTGTCTCTTTTGGGACCTGCATTCTCTGCAAAAAAAAACCCAATACAGTACATACAAACATACATGAATAAAACATTTAGTACAACAATCAATTAATTGATCCCATGGGGAAACAATGTCCAGATTATTCAAGATAAGCATCTCAAAAGCGAAAGGAAGGGTATCTGCTCATCTGGAAAAAAGTACATGTGACTGACACAAGTGTGTCCACACCCCAACAATAAACATTACCATAATATTTCCAGGAAGTTTGGAAGTCTGTTTCTTTATTGTACAGATTAAGTCAACAAAATCCAGTTCATCTGGCTCAAAGTAAGAGTCTTTAAAAAGAAGGATGAACAAGTAACAAGTTTACACCAAATATATGTTAATTACATCTATATTCTGAGCTATATTTTCCTGTCTACTTTTCATTTCAAATGAAGAAAAACAAAAGTGCGTTTTCAATAATTAATATTTAGGAAATGGCTATCATGACTCCCTCCCTTGTGCCTGCTGCTTATCAGGACAGGCTCCGGTTCCCTGCGAATCCCCCGTGAGTTGGGAGAGGAGGTTAGAAATAGGATGGATGTTATCATGACCCATTCGTGGATAACTAAGGGGCGGAGCAGTGGCTCTGTGGCTCACGATCTGCGCCTGTAGCTGGAAAGTTGCTGGTTCAAATCCTGCAGCCGGCAGAGGAATCCTACTCCGTTTGTCCCCTGAGCAAGGCCCTTAACCCCAGCTACTCCAGGGGTGCTGTACAATGGCTGACCCAGCGCTCTGACCACAGGATCTCTCCCTGTCTGTGTGTCTGTGTCTCATGGAGAGCAAGCTGGGGTATGTGAAAAGATGAATTCCTAATGTAAGAAATTGTATAGGGTTAATAAAGTGATCTTACCTTATCTTATCTAACTCTCACAGAGCACTAGGATGTATACAAAATATAAAACAACATTCTGTAAAGCACAGTGACTGATACACAGAATGAACACAATGGCTGCAATTCAATATCAGGGTATCTGATGGCTTTCCTTGGATTCAAGGAGTTTAAATCACCTGGAGCCTTAATCGTATTACTGATGTGTAATACAAACCAAAGGCCCATGCTGTCATTTAGGTAGTAAAGGTCTTAGCTTCTCTCTTCTAGGTTGTGTTAATCAAGGAAGTGCTACCCTTAAAAGATTTGAAGAGCTTGTGTACTTTTGTTATGAATTGCAATTAATGACCTTGAATTTTCAGTGCTATTTTCTACTTTCAGAATTTCTGTTTTGTATACAAACAGAAATTAAAATAGTAAAAACAAATAAATGATGGTTCTGGTTTCTTGCTGTGGTTTTTTCCCCACAACTGTCCATGTATGCAACATACAGCTAAATTATCTCTGAATGGATCGGAGAGTGATAATGTAATGGTGAAAACATCCACAGTCATCAGTAAATGGCAAAATAATTGTATATGCCTACAGCGCAGAGGACAAGACTGGATGTTTCTGCTTGGGAGTGAGATGGATTAGCTCATCAGTTGTTTCTTTTTTCTTTCATTGCCTATACTAGCCAGCAGCCATATCACCCTGCAACTCACAACTGGCAACCCACTGAAGCTAAGCAGGTGTGAGCCTGGTCAGTACCTGGATGGGAGACCTCCTGGGAAAAACTAAGGTTGCTGCTGGAAGAGGTGTTAGTGGGGCCAGCGGGGGGTGCTCACCCTGCGGTCCATGTGGGTCCTAATGCCCCAGTATAGTGACGGGGACACTATACTGTAAACAGGCGCCGTCCTTCGGATGAGACGTAAAACCGAGGTCCTGACTCTCTGTGGTCATTAAAAATCCCAGGGCGCTTCTCGAAAAGAATAGGGGTGTAACCCCGGTGTCCTGGCCAAAATTTCCAATTGGCCCTTACTAATCATGGCCTCCTAATAATCCCCCTCTATGAATTGGCTACATTACTCTGCTCTCCTCCCCACTGATAGCTGATGTGTGGTGAGCGTTCTGGCGCACTATGGCTGCCGTCGCATCATCCAGGTGGATGCTGCACATTGGTGGTGGTGGAGGGGAGTCCCCATTACCTGTAAAGCGCTTTGAGTGGAGTGTCCAGAAAAGCGCTATATAAGTGTAAGCAATTATTATTATTAATTATTACTACATGAGCAGTGAGTCAAGGCTTTTATGACTAAGCTTGAAAATGTCTGTTGCACAATTATATTTAAAAATAAGCAAGTTGACACACAAAATACAGAAATCTTAATGCAGTACCTACATAAGTTACACAAAAAACAAAATATTTAGTTACATAAGCTACTCCTCATTCAAGCTGCTAGAAAACTACATGAAATCTAATTATTGGTACTTGCTTTAGTTACATAAGGGCATAACTGACCTCCAAGTCCAGCCTGACTATTATCCTAAAATTAGGGTACTTAGGTAAGTAGTTCTGGAGGATACATCACTGGAAGAAAATTATCCAAGTAAAATATTTATTTTTAAACAACTAAGCTAATTGAGAGAGAATTCTCACTTACAAGGCTGACTTGGCAGGTAGCAATTTATAGTGGTGGGCATCTGGTGTAGCTGTTTGAGTGTAGCACCTTGCTATACGGGACAAAAGCAGTATGCGATCTGGGAACTGAACCCGCAAGCCCCCATTTTAGAGTTGCTGACAACTCCATCCCACCAGTCGCATTACCTCCATCAAAATCGCAGTAGACTCCAATTCGGTCTGGCACCGCTACCTCCAGGCTCTTGGCCTTGTTGTTGTGCTTGGCTGCAAAGGTCGCCTGCAGCCAGTTGTTGACATGGATACACCAAGACGTGTTGGTCTTGCCTAGCTGGTCAAACTTCCCCAGGTTTCTGTAGGCAACACCCACACTGTAGGACTTGCAGTCCTTTTGAGCTTTCACTTCCCAGTAGTGCTGTCCAGACTCTATACTGCTGTCACCTGCATAGAACACACAAAATTACCTAGTTTCATCTCAACCATACTCATTCTTGCTTTAGAACAGGACTGGCTTAGCACAGGCCCTCATCACTCTCAAAGCCTGCTCATTTCTGTCCCAGCAGTGCTCTCAGTTGTGTTACTGAACATCTTATTTAAATAACAATTTGTGTTCTTTTTGAAATAGACTTACTGTATTAATATTCATAAGCAAATGTAAAAAGTCAATCTTCAAGAGCATAAAACAGTTCAAAAGGTCTCATCGCTCACATTATTATTGCAATGAAGCAACTGAGAGTCCACCTGAAAGGGAAACCTGAAGACAATGGGGTCAAAAGGACTAGGACTGGGACACACTGAACTAACCTGAATAGGACACACCCAACAACAGTAAGTAATTTATTCAATTTGTGCAATGTACAGATTACTACTGTATATCCTCATTAAAGATTTTGCTGAAGAGTCATTTTGTTGTCTAAAAGCAGAGCCCTTTTGTGACCGGGTGTTTTTGTCCATTTACCCAAAACGGTGTACGATTCCCCAGTAAAACGATCTCTGCTTCCTCGAACTGGTGGCGGCCGTGTGGTTGATGTCCGTTTGGGAGATGGGGTACCACTTCTAAGGAGAAACGTGGAAGAAAGAAACAGTTTGAAACTCTAGAATATTTTTCAGCAACAGCTGCTTGCTGTTCTTTGCCAAAGGCAACATGCTACTGTATGTAGTGGCAAGGTTCAGTGCAAATGAATCAATAACTAAGCCTAATTTGCATTATAATTGATTTACTGTACTGATGAACAGTATGTGGTAACCTTGGAACCCTAATGAATAAAACAGTCATTAATAGCTATTTCGTTACATCCTATCATTGATCAGTGTAGTGGGTAGGCTTTGGGCTCAGAGCTGCCAGATTGAGGGTTCAGGTTCCTGTTGTACCCCAGTTGGTCCAGTCCACCCAGCTGTATAAGTGGGGACCAGCATTGCTGGGTAAACTCTGTGATGGAATAGTGTTCCATCCAGGAGGGTCCCATGTGTTCTACAGTCTCGATTGTGCTGATGTAGCAGCTTTACATATAATTCTCTAAACAAATTGGCACAATGCCTTTCACTAAGGTAATTAATTACGGTTGCCGAGTGGCAAAGTTTGATTATGGAAGAAAATTAGTTTCAATTTGTGTATAAAATACAAATTGGCTGCAAGTCAAAATTATTTGTTAAAACTCTATTGACTATTTTCTTTTTTAATAAGTGGAATAAATGTACACAAAATAGGTATGCAGATGGGCCACAATCTGTTCTCAGTTATTTTACTTTACTTTCTTGTTTTTAACAAAACTATGGTACAGTATACAATGCAGCAATTTACAAAATAAGGTTTAAACAAACTGTTAATGTGACATACAATGAGCCAGTCCTCCTTTCGTGCCTGTCCACTAATTGTTACGTGAATTTCATAAGGACATAGTGTTGTGTGTCAGTAAGAAAAATGGTTAAGATCAATCAAAGAAAAAAAGAAATGGCAACAATCTACCATACAGTCAAAACACTGTGTATGGAGATACACATATAGATTAATTTTTCTGTGACCTTAGTAGCATCGCAGAAAAAATATTAAGAAGAATGGTGACCACCAATTCCAATAAAAATTGTGTTTTGCACAATATGGTAATGATTTGCAATTCAAGCTCAAAGCCTGTTAAATGTTACTAATACTGAAAAAAAAACTCACAACAACTGAACAATCATTTTTATTGTAGTTCTTTTAGTTCCAGTCTGGAAAACCAGGCAAATTAGTCGCATTTTGCAAGTAAGCAGTTCGCAGTTCAGTAGTCTGTTTCATAATCCTGAAGCTATGCAGCCACAGGTAATTGACACACACACACAATGAGTGACATTTTCAAAATCCTCTCCAGGAGGTTTATGTATTGTAACAATTCACTGTAAAGTGATCTGAGAAGGTGCTCTACGAAATAAAGAGTGAATAGCCAAACAACATGTCTCTTTTTAAAAACCCCTGTATTACGCATGGCTTTCATGTCCAGTGGCAACATTACTAAGATATTTGGAAGTTGCAGCAGCAGCAGTTTTTGAGGGTCAGCTGTACTGATGTGAGAGGTGCGGCCAAATCCTCTGTGCTCTCACAAGAGCCCATTTGCTGCATACTTCAAATTGGCAAGGAATACACGGAACAGCTGGGTACCCTAGGACACCATACGTCATAGGATATTCCAATGGGCAAGAGCTGGCGGAGCAGTTTTCCCAGAGAGACCCCTCATTGTTCCCACCCCTTCCATTTCAATTGCACAAAGGCATTTACTAAATCTGGAAACCAATGACATCTATTTATCTAGCAGTACATAATGACATCTAACTACTTAACAGTACATAAATATCCAAAGCTGTACACTGTACTGCACCTTCTTCAAGCTGCACCAGTGCCACAGAGAACACTACATGAGGTGAAATGTGACCTCTACTGTACATGTATATATTTTGAATGAGCTTTTGAGCAAGAGAAAAGAAGGTCTTTTATTCTCCTTTTTGATTCATCGGGTGCAGTAGTATTAATAATAGTGTTTTGGTGATTCTGCATGCTGCAGCATATTTTGTCTTCTGTCAAAGGGAACAAACCTCTCTTTTGTTGCAATTCCACTGAGGAAAAGCCTCTTACAATAGATGTACAGACAGCAGCGAGGAGGTGATGAGAAAATGGCACATGAAATTGGAAAATCAGGATACAAAATTAAATTAACTTAAAATGTGGGAAACACTCATCTTAATTTTAGTCCCCCTACTCCTTAAAACAACTTCTAGACTCTTTAGCAATCTTTCACTTTATACCCAAAACAACAAATGCAGAACCATGCTATTTGTCCTTGTGTTTATAAGAAATCTGATAGTTTGCCCTACTCATATTAGTGATAAGAACTAGAATCATGCGATTTGTATGGTGTAGATTTAGTTAAAACTGTGAAAAATAATGTCACAAAAATAACATTTTTACTCACCACATGAAGCATTGTTTGCAAGCATGAAAAAAATCCAAAGCAACAGAAAATGTTTATACCATAATATCTATTGGTGGGGATTCACCCAAGCATTGTCTGTTAATTAAGGAAACCATTTATCACCATTTCTTTTGGAAAGGAAGGAAGAAAAAGAAGAAAGCATACTAAAGTAAAAAAGAAAGTAAATTATAGTATTGGCCATTTATAGATGGAAGTGCCTTGACTGGCTCCCAGCAGCCTGTTGTGATTACTTTTAAAAAAGATTTCAAGTATGGCTCTTCAATTCACAGTTATTTATTTGAGGTCCTTCTGATGTACAAAGGATTTGAAGCATGAAGTGTTATTTCTCCATACACTGCACTCCATCAATAAATGAACGTACCACTAAGCAGTCCTTCCACACTGCACAATTCAAACCTTTTTACCCAGTCTTTTTCAGCATGGTTTAAATCGAACACTTCCAAGAGAAATGTGAACATTTTTGTCAAACATCTGTTGTAGATTGTTGTAGATCTACAACATCTGTTGTAGATGTTCAATGTCTGGCAAAGAGCTTATTTCTTGTAATATTTCAAATGATAAATAGAGAGAAAAGAGTACATGGTAAAATAATGTGTTAAAACAGGAATGGTAAATGCACTTTCAGAAGCCTGAGAAAGACTAGATAAAAACAAGCTTGGATGACTGCTAAGAGACCTTTGTTAATGTACGAGCTGTGGTTAAGTGCTTCTTGCTAGAGCTGTCGGCTAAACTAAATCCTATAGCTAGGAGGCACAGAATCACCTTGACGTGTTCTTCAGATTGGTAACATGGCCGCTGTTGGTTGGGAGGAAAAAACATGGATAAGCAGTGGGTTAATGAGCAATTCAAAGGTTTTGCACAAAAAGGGTTAAGGCATGGATGGGGAAGTACTCTAAGAAAGACTACTGTCTATTGCATTACGGCACCTGTCTTTACCACCAAAACTCGCTAATTTCTAGCGAGGCAGTGTTGCACACAGACTTGCCAGTTCTGTTCTTTTGCCTTAGCAACTTAGTTCCAAGGTACTCAGCTGAATATTCCTTATGGCCAAAAGACCTCTATGGAATTCTGAAGGCAATCTAAGGTCTACATTTAAGTTGTTCGGAAGGTTCTTGGAAGTCTGGCATTCAAAAAGCACAAGTAATGAGATCTAATTTCAGCCCATCCATATGCTTTATCAGTTGTAACTGGTGTGTCATTGGAAGGTAAAACCAGGAAAGCGCATGTTTAATAAAACATACAAGGCTCAAGTGTCCTTCCACACAGGAAAGAAACTTTACTCACTAACAGAAAGTGATCCCAACGAGACCTTGGAGACATTGTTTTTATCGGACTGGGTAAGCAAGTAAGCGCTGATGCATTAATAAAGAGCTATGACCCAATATACTGGGAATGTGCCACAGACAAGCCAGATAAATGTCACATCTCATTTCAGGAGGAGTTAAAAGGGAACTGCAATTCTGCTATTTTTTATATTTTGGGGTTAGAAAAAGCAGCACTGATGAGTGCATTTCAAACCGCAATAAAAGTAAAATGTACACAGTAACTTGTAAGACCTTCAACTTACATCCCAAAATAAATTAAATTTCCAGGTATGTGCAGCACCATGTTCGGTGATTCAGAATGAGGCAACAAAACTTCTGGTGACGTGAAGCGGCCCAATTACATTGTAAAGAAGCAGGCTTGTGAATATAATTTTAGCATATCTCTTAATCCAACAGAAATATTGCTCTTGCCTTCGAGATGGTTTTCAATACATATTTTTTATATTCAATACAAAATTTTCCATGATGTATTTTATGTATTTTGTATGTGCTGATAAATGGAACTTACTTATTACTTATTAACTCTGCTGCATGACCTACACTTACATCACTCATACATCATATCACATTAGTCATTACAGTGACTAGTGAGCAGGAAGGGCTGCTTCAGGTCGCAATTCGTGGGAACTCTCTCTCTTGCTCGTGGCCAGACCATGGTGACTATGCAGTGCTATCAAAAAGTTCACGATTTTGTGCTCAATTTGAAATTTGTAGTTTGTTTTATATTGTCAATGAATTAATCTGTTACCAAGATTTAATAACCAAGAAATTCGGTCTGCAGTTCCCCTTTAAGCCTTCTTCTCATAAGTTCTCATAAAACAATTGTATTAATATTACTTTAACACAGAGAAATGACTGTAGCAGGATTTTACTATGTGGGTCCTCCTGTCCCCAGTGTTGATTTTTGTTCCAACCAAGGTGTTGGTTATTTATCTGAACCCTTTAATCACTGCTCCTTAAGCTTTTGTTTCCCAACTCAATGGACTTCTTCACAATCAGCAGTAAAACACAAAACAGAGGATTTCCAAACCAGAGGTGCATTGGAAACTCAGACGTTGAGGACCTGTTCACAAGGGCTTTGGAACAAGGCAAACAGCTGGGTGAGAGTCACTGATCTAGTTGCTATTATCAACCAAACTGGCGAGATGGGCTGGGAGGCCTCCTCCTTGTAACCTGTTTGCAGTCTTTTGTATATTCTTTTGGTTTTGTGAATAGAACGCTTCATTATGCGTCTCTCAGGTTTGGCTTACATGTTTCTAATTCCAGTTTGGGAATGAGACTCTTAGATCCTGTCCACACCAATTAAACTATTTCAAGAATGTTCCGATTCTTGTAGCTCCAAGTGCACCTAGTGAATTATCATATCTTTGTTAATTGGGCTTTATGGACAGAAACAGACAGGAGCTACCCCTAAGTTGTTTTAATGTTGTAGTTTGCATATGGCAATTTAGCACAAATACCACTGGATTCACTATATATTTAGGACTACAATCTGTGTGATTTTCCTCAGAATTTTACCACAGTATCCTTTAAGAAATGGCTTAATAGGTCATTTAGGTACAAACCACCAAGATGTGATGAATGATCTCCTCTCAACTGGAGCATATTTAATTTTCTCCATTTATATGCCTCAGAATTACAAACTGTAGTATATAGATCCTTTTCTGAGTATTTGCTGTGGTCTTGTGCTGAACATGCTATCAAATTCACTTGGAATAACACAGAATAAAGAGTCACTGAGTTAAAGCAAACTCACTTTTGACAAACAGGGCAAACAGATATGACTGGCTTGATTTTGGAACTACTTCCAGGTGGTATCAAGTCTGGTTCTCCAGTAACAATGTTATAAGTGCACATCCCTCTCAGCACTCTTTACCAAGTGTAAAGATAAGTGGTCAAATTTAAATGTTTAGAATGGACATGGCCTTAGCTTAAACTCAAACTGACGGGGTTTAAATCATTGTTAACATTAGCACACATGGAGATTAATGGATCTAAAGTTTAAACAGCAGTCCTGAAACACCACAGGAGTGCCGTCTAGCTTTCAATTTCCCAAAAACTACTTTTAACAAAATACTATGGGGTGCTGACATGCCCAGAGCTCAGCAGGCCTGATGAAGCTGTATAGGTTAGGTCTCCAGACTCTGGACATACAGTAGGGCTTGTGGGTTCAAACCTCAGCTGTTGCAGTGTGCAGAATATTATGCTCACACTGTTCCAGTAAAACGCCATTTGCATAAATGTGTAGGACATCCTACATCCTCCAGGACATCATTGCAAATGATTTTTTTTTCCCTCAGGTCACTTACTAGGTTAAATAAAAGAGTAAATAAAAATAATCACCTGCCCTTGTTCTCCTTGCCCTTTATTTTGCTTTCTTGGCCTTTGCCCCCTGCTGGATCCCACTCTACACAGCTGTCTTCCACCTTCAGGTTGAGGTGTGAGCAGGTAGAGTCTAAGCTGAAGTTAAAAGCTGTTTGAAAAGAGAAGAAAAAAAGGGCATCTTCAGAGAGGGGCCACGTTAAGGTGTGTGACGTGGAACACCAGACAAAATGTGACAAGAGCCCAAGGCCCTCAAAATCCATTTGGAAGCAAAACAAAACAAGAGAATTGAAGAAATAAGGAATGAGATGAAGTGTGAGAGTGTAAGAGTAGTAAGTGGTTGGTGGCTCGGAACCATACAAAGAGTCCCATTTGTTTTCATCATTGGCTTTAGATGAACATTATTCACTGCTGCTCTGCACCACAAGTTCCTCCTGTGGAGACAGTTGTGTAGAGTTTGACCAGAGCGTATGTGAAAGTGTCTATTCGAAATGAGCTCTTTGCATTTTGAAGCAGGAGAAAGACATTTGTTGTAGATGATACTTCGGAGTTAGTGGAAGGCAGGGATGTGAGTTGTACTATGTATAAAATCTGTATATAAGTTCTGATGCACATGTGAGGATCTCTTCTAAGCCCAGCATTTATGATAACTGAGATAGTCTAAACTGTATAAAAGATGGTAGTAAATGTATGGGTGCAGAGTTCATAGGCAAACGCAGTTTTTGTGCTCCTGTTTGTTATGGTCTTTTTCATAACAAATTAAAAAACTGATTTCAAGCCTTCACTGTGCTGCCGTGAGCCTTCATGCAACCCTACAGCTACCAGAGGTGAAATCCTGTCTCCTCCTTACTGTACCTGTGCAGTGTCTCCCAGTGGAATAATCCCAAACTCATCTCATGAAAGGATCTAGTATGACCTGCCTCCCAATAGGGTGACTGTGTGAGGGAAACAGTTAAAACCTGTAGCACAGTAATCAGTGGCAAAAGTGTCAATCTTAATTAGTCCAGGGTATACCTACTGTATACTTCATTGTTACTGGCAGGAGTCAGCAGCGCAACAAGACAAAATATTCCATGAATCAGTATGGATGTACAGTGATGAACAACAGCACTGTGACAGGCCCTACCCCTGGTCTCCAGTGTGACAGGGTCAGAGTGATCTCCAGCTGCTGCTTTGTTGCAGGCTCGCACTCGGAAGTTCATGTACTTGGAGTCAAACTTTAAACCTGAAAGAAAACGCATGTTAATGGCCATTTCCTTCTGGAACAAAACAGAGCTTTGCTATTTTTTTTACATTTCATAACTTAATCGTGACTACACTGTAAATCAAACAAGAAACTGCGAGATTTCCCTAAAATGGTTTTACATTTAAATGCACCGTACACACTGAATTTATGAACGTCTTCAATTTGACAAGGATAATGCCATTTTTTATATTTATGACAGTTCAGCAAGAGGCACTGCACTCTGATTCAGTTTCTAGAAAAAGAGACAAGATTTAAAAAAAAATAAAAAATCAAAAAAGGTTAATTGAAGGGAACAGTCCACAATGTGCCATCTTGCAAAATAACAGCTCTCTCCCTCAACAAATCAGTCAGACATTAAAGGGGAGAGCTGAGATATCAAATGTAATAAAATACTCTTCTTACTATGTTAAATACTGTAAATACTGTGTTTGGAGTGTGCTTAGCAAAGAGATTTAGTTACCCGTTAATGAATACTCTGTGCTTCTGATGTTGTCCAGCACCTCCCAGCATCGCTCATCTTTGACTCGGGGAAGCCCTTCATGGTTGGTCTTCCTGTATTCCAAAATGTAGTGATCGATCTTGTTGTCCTCCTCTGGCATTCGCCAGCATACTGTGACCGAGTTGTCGGCAACCACACAGTCTGCAACATCAATCTCAGGAGCTCTTGGAACTATACAGGAAAAAGGATGGTACTGAAATCTTTGTTGGATGAATGCAACCTGCTGTATGCCTGAAGAAGGAGTGATATGCAGTGAAACAGGACCTAAGGGATTACAGGCAACATTTTTATTAATTTTCAATGAGACAAAGCACCGATTCATTACTTACCATAACTATATAGACCAAAAGAAGCACTGTTTGTGAATGTATAGATGTCAAAGAATATTTAAAATGGCCAGAAAGCTTATTTTATGCACCATTTCCCAGGTATTCTGGCACATTCAAAACAGATCCATTCGACTTCTGGTAGTGGCAGAAAAAAAAATCAGCATGGAAAATGAGAACAGAACTGAAAACGAAAGTTTTAAGTACTTCATCACTGGAGAGGCTAATAGATATGAATTTGTGACGAGCGTTTCTCCACTCCTCTAACCCTGAAAATGCTCTTGAATGTAAAGAACTTTAATAGGGAACTAAAATTGCGTACTGATTGTAGCTTTTCAGATCATTGCAAAGCAACAAAGATCAAGTGTTTAATACAAAACTGAAAAGATTCCCTTTCATTTAATTAACCATGCCCTTTCAAAATCCATCGCATGTAGCTGAATGTGTATAAAGATGTGCCTTCAGAAAGTTACTGCCAGTTTGATTCAACACAAAGAAAGGTTTAGACGTGTATGTGGCATTTTTCCTACTACCCATTTTATTTTAAGATAGCAGGCTTGCCAATAGTTGTGAATCCCTCCAGAAAGAGATTTTTCTGACAAGCTGCATTACTGCCTTGGGAGTGTGACATCATTCTATCAGACAGGTGAACAGTAAAGGCCATGGGGGGCAGCCATTGATGAGATCGACAGCCATGCAGCTGGAGCAAAACACAAACCTCCCGAGAGTCCAGATGGGTATTTTACAACTCAGGTTTTCTACTCAGGCAGCTTTTAGGAGCTGCCTGAGGACTGTAAAGTCAGATCACAGAAAAAAGTCGAATTTTAAGTATATAGAATCTATCTAGTTAATGTTATTCTTGCTTCTCGTAATATTAACGTCTGTGTTCTCATGAATATTGGTGATGAACTGTGAAGTGAGAATGCTTTAATTACTATGCTTTGACATTGCTGAATACAATCTGTTTTATCAGTACTAGGCAAACTAAGGAGACATGGTAACCAAAGGGTTTCCACAAAATACAAGTCAATATGCAAACATATTCCTGATTAAATAAGGTCATATCCATCTGTATGCAGATGAGATTCATGAAAGCTTTTCAGTTTTGGTATACAATGTGAAACTTTCATAAGGAATAGTTTCCTTTGTTAAAAATACTTTTCTGTTGACTTCCACATGCTGGAGTAGAATCCTGACTAAATTCAGGCCCAAAAAATTCAAAATTGTTTAAACCTTATATGAATTAAACGATAAGGAATTGTATCCTTAAATTTAGTATCTAGGGAAATTTCATTTTTCACCGTTTTCTGAAAAATGAGTCGATCATCGTATACTGTAGGCAGCTGAAAATGGTAGTTCTGGGCCCAGGGAGAGCCTGTGTTATTTCCATGGAGATGAAACCTCTGCAATATGCAGTGTTAAACAGGGAGAGAGTCAGCTAGTTTCATTCACCCTCAGCAAGCACACAAAAAAGAAGTTTTGTTTAATGCCTGGAAGAAGCCTGAATAGGCGCTCTTTTCAGACAGATTTATAGAACAGGAGGCCCCCTGAATACATCACAAAGACATTGGGGGACCAGAGGGAATTACTGGTAGAGGCGTATGCTACAAGAGAAAGCACAGCCCAATCAGATACATGGTGAGAGAAAGGCATGAATGGTAGAGGAATAAACTCTACATCAAAAGTGGATCATGGCCAGTTGATTCGATGCAAAACTTATCAACATGGACTGACTCACTTTTCTTAATTTAAATAGCGGCAGGTATTTTATATTGAAATCCCAAGTTCACATTTTAATTTATGTTCTCGATCTTCAGGAACTTTCCCTTATTTTCCACTTCTTCCTTAAGAAATAAATGCCCCCGCGATTGGCCTAAATATCAAAAGGGAATATCAAAAGAATGCTGTTACCTGTACAATAAACAAAAACACAATCTAACAAGTTTGTTTTATATTGTTCTGCAACTTAGCTGCACTATGATAATGCCAGACAAATAACCCACAGAAAATAACAAGATCACATTTCAATCTCCAAAGCATTCAAACTGAGGCAACATCCAAAGGTTTGTAGCTTTGCTGACAGTTGGGTGTAATCTGACAAAGACCAATGCTTCCAGAGAACAGATACTAGACAAAAGAACTGCCTGACTCACCCTGAGAAGATCTACAATAAAACTGTACAAGCCAAGAGATGCCATTGGGCTCATCTTGCTCAGTTTGATTTTGAAACCTTACTTCTGTGAGTAATGAATACAGCTTTAGCAGGAAAAACAAAGCAGTTTTCTTCAAGAATTCCTTCCCTAACAACTATCTAGGCTTGCGAAATACATCTGAAAAACCTTTGGCAAATGATACAAATCGTTATCGGCAAACGATAATATCTCAGAATGAACTTTATTTCATTCCAAACTCTCATTCCAAATTTCCAATGTCCTGTGTCTAAAGTAGCAGTTCCTAACCTAAGAGCTGAACTGTAGCTGGTTTTCTGTTTACAACTGGTGTACAATATATGCAATATATATTCTTGTATACTGTACATTCTGGTTTGTTTTGTATCTTCTGTACTGTGTGCAATTCTCCATACTCCATTTTTATTGCACTTCTCACTGACTGCTTACTGTGTTGGATTGTTGTGTTATTGTATTATTATTTTACACTGTACTGTGTTGACTGTGCCTGCCTGCTGTTGCACTGAAATTTCCCTCACGGAAGTATCTATCTAGGAGAGCCACACTCCTAATGCTGAGCAAACTGCCTTCTTATCCTGCAAAGTAAGGAGAGCTTCATCTATAGTGCCTGAAAAAGTTTGCACGCATCAAAATAAAAGATGATGATTCAGTACGATTTGCAAATCCATAATGCTCCATTAAACAAGTAGCTTTACAGAAGAAAGAGGAAACAAAGGATGAAGTAAAAGCTCGTTATTTTTCTGTTAGAAGGGAGTGATGCTGTCCTGAGCCTCTGTTCTCTCCAGGATTTGTGGCTTACATCAGCTGTCAAGAGCAGATTGCTCTATGCCATATTTTTGTTCTCTTCTGTGTTAGGGCACTGTCAGTTGCCAATGTGCCTCTACAATGAGAATCCACAAGTGTGTGTCAAAGCTGTCTAAAACAGAAGGCAGGCTCCCTTCACCTCAATCCAGAATGGCAAGAACTGGAAGGCTTCCAACAGTATGAAAGCACAGTATAGGGAGGAAAGAGGCAGGGAGGATTGAACTGCATTAACTCGACAGTCATGAAAGTAACTGCTCCTTTATACCCGTTCCTTAAACACATGACATGGAATGATCCGAATCTGCCAACATAACAATATAAGTGTCCTCTATCAACAACCAACGCCTCATTTCATGCAACTAACACGCATTTCATTATCACAGTGGCAAACAATATAGACAATTTATTTTTAAACCAAAACCTTTAAGGCATCTGCTGTGCTCATTGTAAAAGCAAATGGTGTGCCCCTGGCAGAGGAGAAATAGTCCCACGTGGCCGACACAAGGCAGGGCAGAAGAGGACGAGCAGATGATTGTGGCAAAATTAGAAAACCACCACTTCCACAGGTAAGCCAGTGTTCCTAAAACTGGAATTACTCATTTCGTTGTGAGGCAAATAAACACAAAGCTTTTTTTTATTATCAAATGAGAGAATAAAAGCTTCTCATTGGTTATTAAGAATATAAATCTCCTGTACAATTTGTGAACAACAAAAATGGTGCTTCTCTCATCAAGAGCTTCCATAACGAGTCCTGGTCGATACCCCTACCATTGTTGTTTAAAAGAAGCTTCATATACGAGCGAGAGAAAAATGCCCAATCTGTTTAGGTATTAGCTGGCATTAAGAGTCACGTTTTGCTGCAGCTGAGAACTGTAATGTTAGAAGGGCAGCCGCAGTTTCTCCAGATTGCCGCAAAGCTCTTGAGCAGAGTCAGCCCAGGGCCTTCAGTGTCTTCGCTCACAAGCACCTACTTTACAACTGGACTGTAACAAGCTATGACATTCACTGTACTAAATATAAACAAATGTAAAATCTCTTCTACATGAATGAACTTTGAATCCAATTACAAAACTACGTAAAAATGTATTTGTTCCAGGGAGAATTCTGTACAAAATAAGAGGGGGAAAAAGGGAGACTTTAAACAGATAGCTCTGCGATTAAATGAATTAGAAAGCAACTGTTTGTTCCCGATAAAAGCACAAAATTTGAAATTATTCAGGTATCCTGCAAATACAAATAGCACCTGTTTTTTATAAAAAGAAAGAATAAAAATATTCTGTGCTTTTACAGTAACACAAAAGAAAAGTTAAAAAAACAGCAAGCCTTTGTAAAACATCCCCATCCTCATGTTAACGGACAGTAGTAGTAGCTGTTCTAGTAAAGCTGCTTGGTCTTCCCCTCAAAAAATTCATTCTTAATCGTAAGATAATTGGTCGTTGATAATTGGCATGCGGTCTTTTCACACATCTTTACCTTCACCACAACTTCAAAATGAGGGTTATCTCTGAGAAAGAGGGGAGATAAATAGTCTGAAAGCTTGTAGAATACATGTCATGAGCTGTTGGAGAGTACAGAAGAGCTATGAAGGAAACTGTGGGTTGCAACACCCACTGTTCTATATGTTACAATAAATGGACATGGTACACAAGGTAAATCTGGTACATATTTGCCAATGTTCTGGTCAACTCCAAGAACACTACTCATGTAAAATGATTTCAAGCTTTGCCACTGAGATGTCCGATTTATTCTGTTTAATATACTGTTGAATGGGACGAATTTTGTTCGATACTCCTCTTTTGAGGCCTGTCGTGCACAAACATCTCCAACAACATTTAATTCGCCGGCTTCAGAGCGTTTTTCTGCCAGGTCTGTTATTGAGCAGCATGTGGAGCACCTGGGTACGAGAAGCTGTGTTTTACCTGGCAGGAACCTGAGGCCCTGGATGATCCGTCTTTCCTGGGAGAAGTCCGCCATTAGATGCGTCATGTTATCGGTGGCTTTGGGCTTCATTGTCAAACGGAAAGCCGGAGCCATCGTCACTCTGCAATCAACACCAGACCTTTAATTCTCACTGCTCCTAGGCATCCTTCGTTAAAGGTCACTTGTTATAGCAAGGCTGCTCATGATACACACTAAAAGCATTTATAGAAAACAGGATATTTTAAAAGATAAAACAATCTCTTTCTCTCTGTCCCTTTGGCTGTTGAATACCCACAGCTCATTAATAAACACAAATGAAAAAAACTAATGCAAAAGAAGCAGCTCACAACTTCTTTCCCTTAAAAAACCTCAACATGAGTGAATGCAAAGGGAGTTTAGAGAGCAGCAGGAGGGACTAACGAAATCCTCCAGCGCCATTGCTGCATTAATCCTAGGTAACAGGAGTCACCCACAACTGAATAAGTGGATATCCTTTTAGAAGACTGCATTGTGTTTTCCCTTTTCCCAGTTGGTTTCATGTTCTCAATCCTATTATTGGAATCATTATTCTATGTGACTCTTTGTTGTTTCCATTTTGAGTAGTATTTGCCATGCAAACTGAGCCAGATGACAAAGACAGCAGTTGAAAGGACACTGCAGGACAGTACATCAGTATAATTGAATAATCACTGGGTAAAAAGGCACAGCCCAGCTCAACGTCTCTACGCTTGCGCACATACTGGCAATGTGCTCCAATACGCCTTTAACAAGTAAGGAGAACAGTCAATAAGCACAGACAGTAATCTAGTCGCGCAGATAATCGCATCCAAACAGCAGGAAAAAAAAAAGATCACCAAAGGCAGTAAAATCCCTGTAAATTCTATGACCAAACTGAACATGAGCTGCTTATTAAGACCTCAAAGACACTTGTAAGTGTCCTACTTTAAGGAAATAAGGTCTCGTTTCAAGAAATTTAACATGACGTCCAGAAATCCTAATACACAGATTCAGAATACTGCAAAAGATTGTGCTTTGTGGTACAGTTTGCGCAGATGTTGCTTTGACTGTCAGGGGTTCCTCAGTGAGATGTGACATGTGAACAAAACATCAAGATAAAGTGTGTTCCAGAGTCTTTAGGAGTACTTCCAGGAACAGACAAGAGATTGTGTGAATGGTGGGGGCAAAAGAAGAAGCATAACTGTATGAACATACAGGGATGTCCTTACTCATGTTTAAAATACTGAGAATCAGAAGCAGTGGGAGCTCATTTTCTGTTTGGTTTGCAGACAATAATACTCTTTCTCCCTCTACCACGCTGGGCTGCTACTCCCTTGGTAGATAGGACAGACCTGCAAGGCTGATTAGCCTGAGGAGGGAGGAAGCAGGAAATTGTCTCTGTATTTCTGACAACATGCTTGATAGCCTGACATTTTGTGTGCTGTTAACAAAAGGGCTAATTGTATTTCCTTAAAACATGTGAGCCCTTATTCTTCCGAAGAGGTAGAGGTTGTGTCCATCCATCCATTTTCTAACTGCTTTATCCAATACAGGGTCACAGGGGAGCCAGAACCTATTCTGGTACACCCTGGACAGGATGCCAGTCCGCTGCCGGGCACACACAGACAAACATGCTCACACACTCAAACCAGGGTCGATTTTCCCAGAAGCCAATTAACATACCACTATGACTTTGAACTGTGGGATAGAACCATAGCACCTGGAGGACACATGCTTGAACACAGGGAGAACATACAAACTCCATGCACACAGCACCACAGGAACTGAACCCAGGGCCCTAGGACTGCAAGGCAACAATGCTAATCATATTGGCTCTATGCCGCCTTTCTGCAAAATATATCCTAAAGCTGCTGAATCCTTTTTACTTCTGGGACCACAGTGTAGCATTAATATTTCACGCAGAATTTGGTTAGGTTAGACTTTTATTCTTTAAATATCAATTGCTAATGTTATTTATAATTAAAGTAAATATTATAATGCACATAAGACAGCTTATGCCATTCAAAGTTACCTGTTCTTTGGAAAAAGTCCAACTTTATCCTGTGGACATTTATCTCTATTTAGTGTGAGAGCAGTTGCACAGTGTTACTACAGTGAACAGCAAGCAAGCCCAGTCCAGAAGAAGTGAAAAGTGTACCATACCTATCCTTGATCTGTTTGGCAGCCTTTGTGGAAGAACAGGAGGAGAAGAAAAGAGAAAGTTAATTAGTAGAGCCATGCACATTCAAATGAGGGCATCATGCGTTACTGTGCAAAGCAACCAGAACAGACATTGAGGAGGTTACTTGGGGTACTGCACTTTTACTCAATTAATATGACATGAATAACCTTCTGGGAATTTCTGAATGACAAATTAGCCCCTATACAAAGTAGACAAGCACACTACAGATATTTGCTGTTTCAATTTAATTATTCTAATTTATGCAGTCATTACTGAGTTTGAAACCACACATGAGTTTTGGAAACTTAAATGAATTCAGTAGCCCTCCAATAGCATTGATTCTATCCTTTCTGGGTTTGCAGTCTGATTATGGGAAACTGATCTTCAAACATTTACAGGTTCTGGAAAGAAAGCCATTGAAAGAAAAGGATGGAAAAAACATTAATCTTCATTTAGCTGATTAAAATATTAATATATTGTAAGGTTTTATTATGATATATTACTGAGAACAGTGGGCACAAAAGAAGAGATTAGTTGAGTACGTGTTAATAGTTACAACCAAGTGAATCAATACAAAAAGTCTGCACTACGTATATTCTTGACAAATGGAAAAAAAGTCCTGGAATAGGCTACATTTAGGGATTCATTTGTAATCTCATCTAACACGTAGCTAACCTGTTTACATAATCTGAACCAAGATGAGTTTTGATATTTGTACATCAGACAGAGGTCTGGGAGGATCTATTTTTGTGTGAAATAGTTCCAGATTTCAAACTCCAGATTTAATAACAGCCACCAGCTATCCTAATCTATACTTGATCTGTGATTTACTACATCAGACTATAGTAATACCATATGTAAACATCTATAATGGTAATAAAACATGCCTTTATATATAGACAAGGCTTGAGACAATATACGACATATGGTTGAAAAACAAACACTAAAGCAAACACATTCCATTTACTGTATGTTGCATATAACAAGAAGAGCAGTATGTGTGTTCACTGAGATTTGTTGTTAATTTGAATAAAAAAGTGCATTCAAATTTTCTGAAGCCAACTGGTTCACAGTATAAATTCACAAAAACACGTGTACCCTCATGAATAAAACAGAATGACCTTTTATTAGTGAAATCTCTTTATTATTTCTGGGGAAGTTTACTGATGACAAGCTCAAGGAAAGTCTTCCTAATGTCTAAAGCTTAACACTACTCATCAAAACGTCTTACGATAGCTAAGTACATGCCGCTCACAGGTCAATCAGTCAGCTATATGGTCATGTTTCTAGAAGTGTTGTGGACTAATCTGACCTCCAATCAAAATCTAGTGTACAACATAATGCGGCTTGTGGATTTCCTCAAAACCAAGGGCTTCTATAATTTCTTACTCACTCATGGTGTGCCAGCTTACTTTCCAATATTATTACATAGAATAGGTGATTTGATATAAAATTTGAACATTATCTGATGCAAGCAATCTCTGATCTAAGTGTACCACATCACATCGCAACCATAAATCACAACTTTCTTCTTTCCAATCTGGTGGTTTTACTCAAGCTCTGCAGAACGTTGAGCGTCTACCTTTGCAAACTCCTCAGAATCTTTGATGTCCAGAGCTGTGTTGGCGAACTCCAGCAGCTCTTCTGAGCTTTCCAAAGCACTGGTACTTTGGGTGAGCTGATTCTAGCAAAAAGACAAATCACACACAGGTCATTTCACAGAAGTGACACATGACAAATGATCTCTATTAACCAAGAACCACTCTAGTAACCAATTAACCACCTTACTTTTTTTAAAAGACCAATATAACTTCACTTTTAAGAGTGCAAAGACCACGTGAACCATACTCAAAAACGGAACTACAATTCAAATGGTGACATAACCTTTTAAAGGTTTGTTGACTTTTTTGTAACTTGGAGCAATGAGCAAAGGTACAGCCTAATATTTTATTATTAAAAAGAATATACCCAAAACAGCAATGTTGAACATTATATCAACATGACAGTGGTCTCTCCAGAACAGAACACTAATGTAGAAAACACTTAGAAATCCAGTTCTACGATTACAAACAATACTAGACAATAAAAAGTACCAACAGATTTTAATCCAAACTCCTTGTTTAAAACTATCAAAAGTAAACTTGAGGAGAAGAAAAGAAGAAGCAAAATAACAAAATGCAGTAAAGACACACATCATTAGGGAAAGGACAAAAAATAACATTTTTATTACTGAAGGTAAAAGTTATGTTCTGCGATTAGAAGGAACATCAATGCTTTTCTTTTTCAATTTAAGACGCTCGATTACAGCAAATACTGTTGCTCTAGCAAAAGTGAACTGGATATTGCCAGACCTTCCTTTGACATTAAACAAATGATGTGGCTTTGGTAAAACTCTCCCACTGGGTCAGTTCTGTTACACTGAACTAACCTGCACTTCACAGCTTTTAGTCAGCCAGTCACCATGTAGGCAAGACCTACTGTGTGACAAAGCTGAACCTCTCTCTTAGTTGCAGATCTGGATACTTGCCAGGCATCTATGCTGAGTCACAGTGGTCTGGCTTGAGATCCACAGTTTGTGTTATTTTCATTGTCCTTCTTAAAGGGCTGGAAGTTCAATTCTTCTATATAAACAGACTGGGACATTGTGTCAGGTAGCAAAGACTCTTTGAATCACTGGGTCTGTGTCATGCACCTTAGGTAAAAAGCCTGATTCTGTAAGGGGAATTTGACAAAAAGCAGGCATCAGGGTCATAGACTGAGCATTTCTGTTAGGTGGCTTTTAAACTTTGACAATTGAGTAATGGAGAAATCTACAATATCTCAGTCAAGATATACTGTATATACAGTACAGCATATTTAAAACTATCTTGATACATATTCATCTTTTGACTGGGGATAACATACTAGATATGAAATGGCTAACAGTGTACTGAGAGTTGGAAAGTACTGCACATACAGTTCAGGTAAGAGAACGGCAAAGACTACACTTTGATGCATGTAACATCCTTTTAATTTTAGCGGCTGAGCATGTTGCAATTAGGAAGCTAAGACAAATGTGTATCTCCTGAAAGAGATGTTTCCCTTTCAGCTCAGAAAAGGGATTAAGTAAATTCCATGGTCTCGGTGTACTGTAGCTATTTAATGGATAACTTTGGCTGCTAACTTGCTAGTCTGGTGATTCCTGCTGGCTTACTGTTAGCTAAGGGGACAGTTCCTGAATGCCAACGTTTCTGTAACAGTGGAACCATCAGCACTGGCCTCCTGTTCCAGGAGAAACGTGACCTTTTTGGGCAAAGGGGTACAAAACCAGAACCCACATTGTGTGTGTTTGAAATGCAACATAATGCCAATCATCCACTGAAAAAAACATGAATATCTCTTATCTGCCTGAAATTCTAATTTTACTGCTCCTGTTCACTGGACTTTGTACACAGGGCAGGGCTCTCAGCTGCCATAAGAAAGCAATTAAAGCATAACTAGCATTTAAATTTAACATGGAAATTGAGAAATCTGTTTTGTTCTGGGGTTCAGATCTATGGAACACCTTTTAGTTTACTTTTCAATTGCAAACTAATGTATATGCACATGAAGACATCTTACCAAAAATATGTACTTATCCTTCTTTGGTTCTTTTATCTCTATTTTAGTGAAATCTTAACAAAACATGGTTGTAAGCATGCTTTTCAGGGCTCTTCAGAAATTCCACAAATATTACTCAAAATGAAAGCAAATAAAGTCAATTTAGCCAACCCAGTTGTGTTGTTTAATGGAGCAAGTAAAGTTTTTCCTAAATGCCATGTTAGTGTCTCTTCTACCATTTTTTCTTCCAAGTATAGTTATGTGATTTAACCCCCTTCAGTGCTTCATCTTTTAAATTTTTAAACCATTTGTTTAAAAAGATTAAGGCATCAAAGGTTACATCTAGCAGATACATTTGTAAGCACATTAGAGCTTGTTTACTCAAATACCTGTCTTTCCAACTCTGCTTGCTGCAGGAGTCTCCCACAGTCCAGAAATAAGCACAGGTTTTTCTGGAAAAGCGCCAGCAGCAACAGAAAACCATACCTGAAGTTCTTGTGTTTTCCTTGCCTGTTCCTGTTTGATTGTGTTGGTCATACTCTCCTTCATCTCATCCAATACAGAATACAGACTATCAAACTCTTCTTCGAGGTCTGAAATCACTTTTGAAGAGTTATTCTGTAGGTAGTAGATATTTAGATCAGTTTAACCTTCTAAAACTGAACTTGCCACATTGCTAGTGCTTCATTGGAAGAATATGTATTCAATTGCATATTTGAAAACATTTAAAATGATCATTTATGAGCTAATTTTCTTTTGAAACTGTTAAATCTAAAAAAATGTTCAGATACTATTATAGTCACACTATTTAAGTAAGAAGAAAAGCACAAAAACAATTTAAAAACTGAAAATATTGAGTGGAAAGAAAGAGGCTGTTAGAACTCCCAAACTGTATGTGAAAAAAATCTTGATTTTTAACCCCGATTCAGAAAGAGCAACATTCAACTAGAGATTTCTGAACTCAAGCTTGCTTATTTTTAAATATCTTTTACTAACACTATGTACTGTTTCAAAACAGGATTCCTGTCTACACAGTTCTTTCTTGGCAGTGTAGTAATGTCTGGGAAGAAAGTCAATTATATAATACCTTTAAGAGGATTTGTGTCTAAGTATTAACACTGACATCATTATAACTCAGCAAATAAACAGTACACGGATACTGTAAAAGTAACGGCACATGACAGTGCATGTAAAAGGTAATTTCTTCACTTACAAAGATGTCTAACTGAAAGAAAAGTGTTTTCTTTCCCTTTTATCAACTTTTAGATGACTTCACAAACTTCTGCCATTTCAGAATTCCTCGGTTTTGACAAAGCCAGTTAAGTATAAAAAATAATGATTTTACAGTTTTGTTGTAGTTCCATAACAGACCAAATATGTGTAATATGTGGTAAATGTTGTTTTTATGTTGCTGTGTACAACATATGTCTTACAACAATAAGATCTGACATTTTTTATTTTCAGAGTTAAATCTTTCCTGAAGTCATAGCTACTTTGTATTTTGATCTTGAAGGCTTTCCAGCGGGTATTGGCTCCATCTAAAATGGGTTTAAAAGTTGTCCTGTTGTGACAATAAATGTACTGTATACTCAAAGCAGGCAGAAAGAAACTTCCTACCTGCACGCCTTTGAGTGTGTGGCTCACGGTGTCAATGAAATTATGGAGCTCTTCATTTTTGTTGGCCAGTGTGGTGATTATCCTTTGTAGGGCCTCCTGTAAAACAACAACAATAAATAAGTCTGGTTAGGGGAGTTAACCTAAAACAGGCAACCCCGGTCACAAAGTTATCAACATTTTCTCTTCCTTATGAGCTTTAAATGTTTTCTCCTGGTGGGTTACATATGCAAAATCACAAGGCCATAAGGGAAACTGCCTGAATATCCCATTGCCAATGCACAGGAAGTTGTTCAATGATCGACCAGATGGTTTGAAATATTTTTGAAAAGAAACCTTAACCCTCAACAACTTTGTCAACTAAGGTCAGGTAAAAGACACTGATAAAATTCAATGGGAAAACAGATCTCCACACATTATGTATATGGACCTTCTAGCATGCTAAAGTTGTAGAATGCTCCTAGGTCATAAACTGAGAAAAGAATGATGCTGCATTTTTAGTTTTGCTGAACCTCTCAACTACCAATTAATCAGCAAAAACAAAAATACATTTCGGTGTTGATTTAAGGTCACTCCAAATGTCTTTCAATATCCCAAAAAGTCTAAATCTAAATTAACCCAATGCAATGAGACCCTCTTCTGTTAACAGACCACTTTTTTTTTCTTAAGGAAGCGGAAGTATTTAATGTTGATGATTCATTATTGATTTTGTTTGTTCAATCCGGTCCTTCCTTGGAGCTGTTCTAACTTTTACCCTGACCTGCTGGTTTGGCAACCTGAATCTGAGAGGCAAGAACAAACTGGGCAGCCTCGTAAAGATATGTCAGAAGGTCATTGGCGCTGTTCTTCCAGCCCAGCCCTCTCCTCCATTCATCATTCACGTGTTTTGCATAAAGCAAAATCCATCTGTGATGATCCTTCACACCCCTTGTTTAACAAAATCCAGTTACTGCCATCAGAATGCAGATAACTCCGAAACTAACAGATTCAAGTTCTCATTCATACCTGTAGCCATATTGTTACTCAACAGTATACAGTACATACTTCCATGTAAGTATGTACTGTATATTGTTGTTCCCGTGGGATTTTTTTTTCTGTCCGTCTGTACACCAACACTGCTGCTGTAAAACAACGTGCTCCCCCCGGGGATAAAGACACCCTCTCTCTAACTTTCTATTTTAAATACAACAGTTTTCTGAATTGACGGAATGCTGAGAGTTTGATAACTAGTGCAGAAGTGAATGGTAAGGAACTTTAATGATTTAAAGTTTACAGTTACAATCTACTACAAACATCTCCTTGACAGACTTTAGCCTTTAGCATGAACATTACACACTGTAGAATGCCCACACCTGAAGAGGGCTTCACAGCCGAAACGCTGTGTTTTCTCTCTTATCTCTTTTCAGCATGGTATAAACCTATTACTTGTTCCATTACACACTGTATATCATCCAAAACTTAGAAACTACAGTGTGACTTTTACTAGCTGTTGGATATTACAGTAAACACATGCAGTATCACCATAGTGAACTCCTCCCTTACCAACACTTAACAAACATCAATGGTGTTAGTTCAAATTAAAAAGAGGGCACTGTTAAGGTGAAAAGGAAACAGACTGGCTTACTAAGGTGAGGGTTTTTTAAAGTTTTATCTTTCCACTCCACATATGTTGTAAGAAATCAAATAATAGTAACAGTATTTGAATAGTTAGGGCAACATGCTGCCTGTTAGCACTGTTGCCTAACAGCTCTATGGTCTTGTGTTGAGCTGTGAGTTGCATAGAGTCAGAATGTTTGCGCAATGTTTTTGCGGGTGTTCTCTCAAAGACAAGACTGTGTGCTGACTGGCTCTGGGAGATTTTTAATTCCACGAAGAGCAATAGTGAGACTAAAAATAAAGAATCTTTTGGTGTCAGGTTTTTTAAGCATCCAAGACATCAAGCCGCAAAAAGCACAAAAGTAATACTGAGATTCTAATTCCAAAAACTAATTTCACCTAAAAAGCCATGTTCTGAGCTATTCGTTCAATGCACTGTAAAACATTACTAGACAATGATTTTGAGATGTAGAACACATTTTTATCATACATATTGATATTTCAGTAATTAAAAGTAGTTATAAATACATATGGCTCTCAAGGGATAAAGGCTTTCTAAATAGTTTTCGTAGTATTGCAGTTTACAGAAATTACATGTACAGTATATGAGAAAGAGATACTGTATGTAAGGCCTGTACTACACATAAACAGACATTTAATGTAACACTATGTAACACTGTATGCTTGAAGCTTTTAACTTTCTTTACTACTTCCATTCCTGCGTGTTTCAGGAGTCTGTTACAATTATTCCAACAGTTACCAAGCTGAAATCGAAGAAACATTCAATTACATTACAAAGCAGTTGGCTGGAAGAGCCATGTTCAGGCAGGAAGTAAGCCAGCAGGAAGTCAAAAGCTCAGTCTCACATCCCAGTAGCTGATGATGACCACTGAAGACAGACTGTAAACTATACCACTGCAAGGGAAAGGAAGAAATTGCTTGGGTCTTACTTAAACATATAGCTTGCAAATGTGGGAGTGCACTCCTTTTACTTTTGGAAGATACCCACCAACAAACGAATCCATATTTAAAATATATCTAACTGCAACCTGGTAAGCAGCCCTGAAGACATTATTCACAATTCTAGACTTAAAAAAAAAAAGATATCTAAGGTCTAAGATAGGTCTAAGATCAACTTAGACCTAATACAACTGATATAAAAGTGGAATTTGTCAGTATGGACAATCTGAATTTTAAATGAATTTCCTTGTTATT